CACTTCTTGCTGGCCGATCACATCTCGGCCCCATCCTCATGACAGCCCAGCCCTCTGTGCCACGCTCCCCTCCCTCCATCAGGAACGCTTGGCCCTTCCTGAAGCCCCCTCCTCCCAAACCCCACCCCCGGCTCTGGCAGGCAGGACCCCAAATCAGAGGCCAGGGCAGGTGAGCGGACCCCCCCCCACCCCAGATGCCCCTGGCCCTCTGTGGAGGTTACCCTGCCGTATGCAGCCTCACCCACGCCCCAGCACAGGTCCCCCGGCAGGCGCAGAGAGGGGCAAGCCTTGTGAGCCTGTTGAGGAGGTCTTGGTTCTCAGCCAGAACCCCCGATGCTGAGCATGCGCTGTCCTGGGGGTCTTAGGGGAGCGTGGCTGCAGCCCCCTCTGGGAGGGGTGCCCATTTCCAGTTCTCAAAGCCGCTTCTGCTCTGGTCCTGACCCCACGTTCAGCCTGGGGTCCCAGGTGTGACCAGGGGCCACAGCCATACCTGAGCCAGAGGGGGTGGCCCAGCCAGCCCAGAGAGCCCCCTGAACCACCTTCCCTTGGGGTCCTCATCCCTCAGACCTCTCCACGTCCCACCCAGAGGGGAGGGTACTCCTCCGTCCTGAATACGATCCCCGCTCCAGACCTCAGAGCAGCTACACCGTCCTACCCTGGGGGAGCCCTGCACTGGGGGTGCTCAGTCTCTGTGAGGTCAGGGCTGGGTTACAGTGGTGGGGGCAATGTCTGGGAGCAGATGGACCCCAAGGGGGCAGTGGGGGTCAGGGAAGAAGAAATGAACTAGGGGTGGGAGAGGGGGTCAGATGCAGCCGTGTCCTAGTATGGCGAACCCTAATCTAGCCACACACTCGGGGACATGGGAACCAGCCAGGAAATGACCGAGCAGTCCTGGACAGAGTCAGTGCAGCCAGAGGCCGAGATGCCGAGGTCCCTGCCCCCCAGCCCCAGGGTTGGTCGGCGGGGATATAGGCCTGGAGAGCTCCAGTCAGGGCAGGGGTCTCAGCCAGGAACCTCTCCCTCATTTCTGAGCAGTTTCCACCAGCACCAATGACAAAGTCATCCCACACCTACGCCTCACAGCACACGTGACCAGCGATGATGGTGACGCCCACAGCGCACAGGAAGACGGGGATGGGGACCCCCTGCTGCCCTCCAGGAGAGAGCAGGGAATCTGCTCAGGGGAAGCTGGGCCCGGCAGCTCTTCCCTGCCAGGGATAGGGCGGACTGGAGCGTGAGGCGGGTGGTTTGACTCAGGAATTCCGTGTCTAGGAATTTATGGCGAGTCTGTACAGGGAAACGCTCAGGAAGACGTCTGTACAGGGAAATTTCCGGCAGCGGGGCGGGGGGCCATAAACAACCCCCCCTCACCCCTGCCGCCACGGAAACAGCCGTGGAGGTGCAGGGCCGCTGTTTCCAATCGGATGACAAGCCCCGTGAATACCTCCTGGGGGACACTGGGGGAAGCTGCCTTCGGGGGGAGGGACATGGGCACCTACTCTTCTCTGTGAGCTTTTTTTGTGCTGTTGGAATTTTCTGTGCCGTGCGTCACTTTCCATAAAAACTCATGTTTCAAAAAAGGCATAACAGTAGCTTTAAAAGGAAGGAAATTCTGACACAGGCTACAACATGGATGAACCTTGAAGACATTGGGCTGAGTGAAATGAGCCAGTCACCAAAGGACAAATACTGTATGATTCCACTTGTATGAAGTCCCTAGAGTGGCCAAGTGCACAGAGACTGAAAGAAGCAGAAGGGTGGCTGCCAGGGGCTAGGGGTGTGGGGAATGGGGAGTTAGTGTTTAGTCGAAGATAGAGTTTCGGTTTGGGAAGATGAACAGAGTCTGGAGATGGGTGGTGGGCATGGTTATACAACCACGTGGATGTACTTTTTGTTTATTTATTTACTCATTTACTCATGGCTGCGCTGCAAGGCTTTGCGCCATCCTAGTTCCCCAACCAGGGATCGAACCCACACTATCGGCAGTGAAAGCACCGAGTCCTAACCACTGGACCACCAGGGAATTCCCAACGTGGGTGTGCGTTATGTCACTGAACTGTACACTTAAAATGGTCGCGTGGTAAGTTGTGTTACGTGTGTTTTATCACAATTTAAATAAGTGAAAGGGCTTCCCTGGTGGCGCAGCGGTTGAGAGTCCGCCTGCCGATGCAGGGCACACGGGTTCGTGCCCCGGTCCGGGAGGATCCCACATGCCGCGGAGCGGCTGGGCCCGTGAGCCATGGCCATGGCCGCTGAGCCTGTGCTCCGCGACGGGAGAGGCCACAACAGTGAGAGGCCGGCGTACTGCAAAAAATAAATAAATAAATAAATAAATAGATAAGTGAAAAAAACGGCAAACAGACCTAAGCCAGTGGCTAGTCCTGGGACGACTCATCCTCCAGCCTCATCTAGACCCTCCAAGGCCCCTCCCCCAAGCCTGTCCTCCCTGGCTGCCCCTTCCTGCCTCACCGTCTCCACTGGAAGATGGAGGTCATTGATGACTCAGCCCCTCAAGTCCTTCCGAGGCAATGCTTCTCGGGATGGCCATCTTTGTGGAAATTGTGTTTTCTTTATGTTGTACTTTGAAGCCAGATGGGTACCTGCAAATGTGCCCGGATCTCCCCTCATTCCCGGGCTGGGCCTCGGCCTGCGGCCAGGGACATTAACCCTCGGACCGGAATGAGAGGTGGGTGCTGTGACCCCCGACTTGCCGGGCACCAAGGTTTGAGGTCCAGCCCTCTCAACCACAGAGGCCCTATGCTTCATCCCTGGAACCCCAAATCTGAGTCTGCTCACCTGTCCTGTGGGCTGGAGCTCCCGCACACAGGGCTGCATGGAGAAGGTTCTGGAGAGCCTCCGGCAGGGCTGGAGGTATTGCATGCTCATCATCCCCCATCCCTGCAGGCTCTTTCTGGGCACATTGCATCCCTACCAGTCCCACCGCTACCAGTTCTACCCCTCACCCCCCACCCCCACGCCCGCCACGGACCTCCTGAGACTGATTTTAGGTCAACTTGCTTTTTAGGACAATCAGCTTCATTCTCAGCCAGGACATCAGGTGCATCGCGCTAGTTCTATTTTGCAAAGACCCAGCAAGGCCAACACCTCATTAGGAACAGAGTAAATGTTCTACCTGAGCCCCCCAACTCCACTGCTGCCCCAAGCACCACAGGCAATCCCCGCCCCCCTCCACCATGCTAGGGAGGGGGAGGGCAGCCCACCTGGTCCTGCAGCTCCGCACCACTTGAAGGAGGCCGGAAGGGGAGCTGCAGGGCCGTTAGGATGAGGGCTGCTTTATGTAGGCGCAGGGCCCAGATCCTCATCCACATTTGCCGAGCCCCCTCTGCCACATGGAGCTGCTGTCTTTCAGGCCAGCGGAGACCCTCCCTCCTGTCTCTTGTCCAGGAACCTCATCCCAGTCACAGGCACTGCCCACTCGAGGGCAGGCACTCTTCTGGAAGGTGTCCACTAGGGCTGGAATCCTGGGGCCAGGAGTTCTGCCCGCCACAGAGGTCCCTGGGGACGCCTCTTGTCTGCTCTCCTGGGACCGGGTGTCCTTTCTGGGAGCTGCAGCAACCGCCATCTGCCTCCCAGCCCTGCCCTCCCAGGGCTTCCAACAAAAGCCAGTCTAGGAGCACAGAGCGGGCCCTGGACACGGCCGGATGTGAGCTTGCGGCAGGAGAAATCTAGGGCAGCACCAAGCCTCGGTCACAAACTCCCCAGGAGCTCTGACCCTCTGGGGAGTTGCGCACTGCCAGGGGCGTGGGGGGGGGGTCCCTGGGAGGCAGCTGTGGCCCCTTGGGAAGGTTGGGGACAACTCTTGGGAGAGGACTTGCCAGGTGGGCAGGGTGGGCTGGGCAGAAGGCAGGGCCAACTGAGCTCAGGGACCCAATGGGTGAGGTCTGGCAGTGGGCACTGAGTGGGAGGGGAGGGGGTCGGCCAGTTGTGCTGCAAAAGCTTCGCAGGGTGAGGGGCAGCTAAGAGGACCCTAAGCAGAGCTGAGGGCTCCCTCTTACCTGGAGGCAGGTGTGGGGCTGGTAGGAGGGGGTCCTGGAGATGTTCAGGGGACCCAATGATGGTGAAGACACAGGAGGTGAGAGGAAAGGAGGGGGCAGGGGGGCAGCTGGGAGGGGGGACCAGAGAGCACGGAGGGTGGTTTTGTAGGGCTGGAGGAGGGAGAGACCCCGCATCCCCCGCCATCTGTGGGCTTCTGGACCTGGTGTCAGAAGCGGGTGGGCAGGCACAGAAAGCTCACAGCAAACGCTGCAGTCTTCAAATTATGTTTTGCATGTGCAACACTGGAAGGAAACACTTCTCATTTCCAGCAAATACGAAAACTGAGCTGGGAATGAACACACCCAAGTCCCCTACATACGAACCTTCAAGTTGAGAACGTGGGTTCCATCAGCGTCAGGCGTGAGTGAAACTGCAGCTTGCCCTCCGTCTCCTGTTGCTGACGATCCTTCAGCTCTACCATCTCCCACCTCCTCTCCCTCCTCCAGTCAGTCACCCTTCTCACCTGTTCACTTGACGCCAGCCCTGTATGCCAGCTGTTGTACTGTACCAGTGTCCTTTCAAGGGACTCTACTGCAAGATTAAAAATGTTTTATTTTTTTGTGTTTGTTTTTCATGTATTATTTGTGTGAAAAGTATTATAAACCTATTATAGTACAGTACCATATAGCCGATGGTGTTAGTTGGGTACCTAGGCTAACTTCGTTGGAACAAATTGGACTTGGCGAATGCGCTCTCGGAACAGAACTTGCTTGTATGTAGGGGACTTATGTATTCTAGAAAACACCCTGGAGGCGGGGCCATGCCCCAGGGGAAACAGGACCCTGTTGCGCAGCCACAGGGAAGCCACGGGGGGGGGGGTCCCCACATGGGGTTTGAGAACTCCCAGGCACGCCTGTGCAGACACTCCCTGCGGTCAGGCCAACTCCCCTGGCAGTGAGAGGTCACCCCCAGATTTGCTCACAGGAAATGACTGACTGAACCTCACAGCTTTAGATCAATATTTAATTTTTAGCTTTAATGTGCAAATAAATAGAAAAGGAAAACTACATTCAAAACAGCTGCAAAGGAAGTACAAGCCCCAGAACAGAAATTCTTCAAAAACAGAAGAGATGCTCCCTAGAAGCATGCAGGATGGGGGGCTTGGTGGGGTATGGCCCGCACCCCAGGCCCAGGCAGAGGCACAGGAGGGGCTGCGGGCTCCCGAGGAGGACGGCTGCCGGGAGGGTCTGGTTCAGGAATTCTGATAAGTTTCCTTCTTATAAAACAAGGATGCGTACAAAGTGCATGGATTACACGTGAGAAAACACGGGTGAGGAGACACCCAGGTGGGACAGGTTGGCCTCGGAATCGCCCAGGCCTGGAGTCACAGGCTTTGCAAACCTCGAGTTCCACAGGTAAACTTCTAGAAACACGTCTCCAATTCCCGGAACCTTGGGTGTTTGGCACAGCTCAGCTGCAGGAAGGCAAGGGCTGCGGCTGGCAGAGGCAGCTGCACGGGGGTTCTTCCAGGCCCACGGGTCAGTGGAGCCCACTCGCTGATGGTGTCAGGGGCCCGGCCAGAGCTTCTCATGGTGCAGGAAGTTCAAAAAGCTGGTTCCTAGCCCGAACTGCTTGGCATTCTTGGCACAGAAGAAGCTTTTGCCCCTCACACCATACCCGCCCCGGGGGGTGGCTGCCGGAATGGAGGCGTTGGGGTGGGTATGCAGAAGTCCACGAAGAGGGCTGTCACCCCCAGAGGGGCCGTGGGACTTGGCCGTTGTAGAACTTACAACCACTAAGAGAGCATAAAGGAATAAATATGTGTGCATATATATACTTCTAGAACGTCCATCTTAGGTACACAACCGCACCCCAGGGCCCTCCCAGGGTGGGACCACTCGAGCTCAGCGGGTGCGGCAGGCCAGGCCCCCTCCCCTCACGTGCCCAGAGTCCAGCTGTCGGATCAACATGGGGTTTGAGTCTCTTTTTTTCCAGAGCAGGGTCTTCTGGCCAGTTCTGGTGCCGCCTGCCCACTCTGTCTGGATGTCAAAGCAGGATCCCAACAGTCTGGCTGAAAGGGCTCTTCTCACTTTCGAAGTGACCGAGGACCCCAGGCAGGCACCCGCTGGGCCAAGCTGATGCCCGAACTGTCAGATGCAGGCTGTTGCCCAGCTTGGGAAATGTTTCTAGAAGCCTGGGAAGGACATGCTTTTCAAGCAGGTCCACCTGGGCCCGACTCCTCCGACGTCAGGGACCCTCAAACGCTGACCCCTCCTGAACGTGAGCCCTTGCGCGGCTCTCCACCCACTTTCACCATACGCAGGAAAGGACCAGCGGTGCCCAAGCCTGGGGATTTGGCATGTGTGACGGGAGTAGCCCAGCAGGCATGTGAACGCACTCACTTGTGCCTTGAGCGGTGCACTGCTTCTCCCCCTCCCAGTGGGGACTGAGCCCCTAGAGTGCAAGTGCGGGGAGTGCTTTACTTCTGGCACAGGACGGGCCCAAAGGAAGCGGGGAAGCCAAGAGGGATGGCAGCGTGGGGCCGAGAGCCGACACAACCCGCCCTTCTCTGGAGCTCACAGCCCATAGCAGCAAGGCTGGGGGACGCTCTGCTCCCCTCACACTGTTCATGAAAACGCCCGATGGACACACAGGCCGAGGAAGCAACTGCACTAAGTGCGGGTCGTGGTGCCCGCGTGGCAGCGTCAGGGCGAGGCCGGGCGGCGGTTGTACTGCACTCGGTAGCGGGTCACCGGCAGCCCGTGCACATGAGCCGTCTCGCAGAGCGTCTTGCAGGGCACCATGTCCTCGTCCTCCTCGCCCATCAGCCAGTCCTGCACCAGGCTGGCTGCCTCCACCGGCACGTTGTCCTCCAGCCAGCGGCTGTGCCACTCCTCGAAGTGCTGGTGGTGGCGCAGCAGGACCAGGGGCTGCACCTGCAGGGGGCGGGGGAGAGAAGAATCAGGATGGCCCAGGCACCCCAGACAGCTGTGGGCTGGCCCCCAGGTTCCCGGGACGTGGGCAGGGAGGGGCACCTGCTTGGCCCGGCCGAGCGTCCCACGGCGGTACATGTAGTCCTCGGAGTTCACGATGAACATCATCTTGTGGGTGCTGAGTTTGAAGCGGCAGTCCACGTTGCAGGCGCTCTCTACCCCGACCAGCCGCTTCCAGGAGCTCTTGGCCTCACCCCGCAGCGCGCGCACCTGCTCACACTGCCACCTGCGGAACTTCTTGAGGTTCCTGGGGGCGAGGAGGATTTGCAGACTAGAAGGTCCTCGTGGCCCAGCAACAATGGGAAGATGCCTGACTTCCCAGGGTTGGAGAAACGCAATCTGAAGCAATGAAAACCACCACCCAAACCCTTTGATCCCGTGAAAACTAATAAAACCCCATCACGCTGGGTGCTGGCAATGGTGGGAGAGGCCCCCGGGCCCAAAGTCCTCTCACCTCTGCAGGAACACAGGCTTCAGGAGGAAGCCCTCGGTGGGCGAGCTGGACGCACCCTCGGTCCCCACGTACTGCTCCACGTACCGAGCCAGGTGCTTGGGGGACAGAGGGAGACGCAGCCCAGGTCATCAGAGGCTCCCGGGGACTTTGTCCCCACCCCTCCCGAAGCACTAGGATAACAGCTATCGAGGACCCTGAACTGTGATAGAGACCAGCAGACTGCAGCTCCCGATAAAGGGCTCAGCTGGAGCGGGACACGCACACCCAGGCCACTATTCAGATGATTTATGGCATTTCGTGCTTAGGTGGATAAATCCCTGCTGTGTAACGACTTTCCTGTATCCATCATGTGATAAGTTCACGTGGAACAGGAGGCCCCTGACATGGAGGAGAGCGGGCTCTGGGGGATGGGTGGGCAGGAACAGACATCAGGACACAGACAGCAGGTAGGAAGAGGGAGAGCACCGGCAGGAGTTGTGGCTGAGTAAAGGGGGGGCCCGGAGCGGTCACCAGGTCCAGGGCAGACATGGCCTGCAGCGTCCGAGGGATCCTTCAACTGCTCACCACCCTGTTAAAGCACGAGGCTCCTCCAGACTCAAGCTTAACAAAAGCACATTTGCTGGAAACTTCTGGAAGGGACCGGGTGTGCAGGCCCCTACCTTCCCTTGTTTTGGAGTGTTTCCAGCGAAGGGCGCTGTGAAGGGAGCCCCCGAGGCTGTGGTGGGTGGCGCCCCAGCTCTGTGAAGGCGGCTTGGGCTTCTGGGCCCTGCTCCCTGGCGTGCGGGCACCAAGCGGAATGTGCACCTCAACGTGTGGGCCAGGTGGGTTTTCTCCTGGTGGTCAGGGGGCACCCAGAGCTCTGAGCTTCATGCACAGGGAGCGCGGCGGCTACATGCCGCGGGGTCTGAGTGACTGGGCTGGCCATGGGCGGATGGCACGGTGTCGGCAGCAGGTGGCAGGAGCCGGGGTTTCGGGGGAAGCCGGCCTGGCTCCCACACGGCCTTCCGGCCCTGGGACACACCCCTGGCTCCTGAGAGGCCACCCGCAACTCCCACCTCCTGATGCGTTTCCAAGGAGAGCATTCAGCCTACACAGAGGCTTCTCTGGTGGACGTTTTGCGGCCTGTGCTCGGCCAGCATGTGCATGGGCTCCCGCGGTGGGAGCCCCACGATGCTGCCTGTGGCTGCCCCTGGCCCCCACGGTGTGTACAAGGCACAGAGCACAGGGCTGCGGTCCTCACCTGCACCTCTAGTGGGTCCTCTGTCTGGGCTTCCTCGGTGTCCAGGAGCTCAATGGTCATGATCACCTGCCCTTTGCGCTGGAGGAACATCACCTGGGGAAGGAGGGGGACAAACAGCCTGAAGCCACGAGAACAGCCCAGGCCGGCAGAGGATGAGGTCAAAAGGTCATCAATGATCCCTCTTCACCAGCCTCCAAGCCCCATCCTTCCTTGAGGGACCACGTGCCGGGCTCCCACCTCACAGGCCCTGTGGTGCCCTCCGGGGCCAGGACCTGCGTCCAGAGGCCCAGCGAAAGCAGCACACGGTACTGGGCTCCTGTCGTGGGTGCCCGCCGTGCTCCCCCCAGCCTTGTGTGGGGCTGAGCGTGGCTGGCCTCTCACCTTAAAGCAGTTCTCGTCAGCCATGCACCGCTCGGCCTTCCACTGATAGCTGGTCTCCCTGGCGGCGCGGACACAGCGGGAGGACAGGTTCCCGCCGGCAGCACCCCGCTTCTTCTCGTTCAGGTAGAGCTCCACCACCTTCAGACAGACATCGTCGCTCACGAGGTGGTGCAGCTGCCGGGGAGGGAGGGCCAGTGGGTGCCTGGCGTGTGCCCGCCAGGAGGGCTGAGGCACAGCCACCACTCCCACCTCCTGCTGGAGCCCCTACCTCACCCAGAGACGGTGTGACAAAGTCCACGGGGTGGGGGTGAAGAGCAGCGTCCAATGGGCTGTGCAGGGCGACCTCCATGCCAGATGCAGACCAGAGCAAACTAGACCAGACTAAACCAGACCAGACTGGGGCAGACCAGGCCAGACTAAATCAGAGCAAACTAGCAAACCGGACCAGACCAAAAGCGAGACCAAACTAGACCAAACCAGACAATAGCAAACCCGAGCCAACCAGAGCAGACCAGCAAACCCTGCCTGGGTGTGAGAAACGCACAGAAAAGATGCAAACGGAAGTGTGCCAAAAAGGGGAGGGTAATCATAAAAGCAGTGATCGTCTTCCGCCAGCGTTCAGTCATAAACACAAGTGATTCCTTTAACACCTATAAGCATACTTAAAACCTTTAGGCCTAGGATGAGACAAGGATTGGAAAAGGCCGAGGTCGGCATGAGTCGGCCCCTCTGCGCGTGAGCTGTGGCCCAGACAGGCTACTGCAGACTTAGGGCCGCAGGCTCCGCTCTGTGTGCCCCTCTGCTGAGTGCGCACAGCGACGCGCGGACACACATGGGTCTCATATGGTGCCTGACATCCAGCACATTCCCAATCAACGTTAGCTGCTGTTACTGAAAATAAGAAATGCTACTTTAAAAAATAAATAAATACAAGGAAGTAAAGAGTGTGGATACGACGCTGCAGGTTACAGGTGTTGCGTGGAGGGGCCCCTGTGAGCCACACGTGGGGGTCCTGCCCTCACTATGGCTCCAACTAAACGGCTCCATTTTTATTGCTTCTTTTGTCTTTTAAAACAGGTTTTACAGGAGACATTTGTGGAGAGAAGGAGTTTTGTTTTTAAAAAAAGGCATGAGTCAAAGTATATATGGTCCAATCCTCCCGGTGCTACAGATGGGGCTGCCTTCCCGAGAGCTGTGGCCTGTTGGGAGCCGACTCACTCGGTCCAGGAGAGATGAGAGAGCCCTCCCCCCCCGGCCCCCCGGGGCAGGACCAGAGTGGGCCAGGAATCTGGAAGCTTCCCCCCAAGGCTGGCTGTGTCTGCCTGCACCCCACCCAGGGGAGCAGAGGTCATGCACACATACGGCCCACAGGGGATGCAAAGCGCTGCTCCAAGGGCCCAAATGGGAGCTCGTCCCTGGAATCCTTCCCAGGTGGACGATGAAGGAGCTAACGGGCATCTCAACAGACAGGAATCTCAGAGAATCGCGCTGCCTGGACGTAGCCAGACGCTGAGTTTATGCAGCTTCAGGACCAGGGACTCTACCCCAGTGTCAGAAATCAGCAGCGGGTGCCCGTGAGTGGGGGGGTGGCTGGAGGGGACACGGGTGGGGTGTCCATCTGTGAAGACCCACCGAGCTGCACACTGAGGAGTCGGCACTTTTCTGTATGTGTTTTACTTCAATGAGAAGTTTGTAAAACTGGAAGGAATTGCCATTTTTAAAATGTTTCTAGTAACTGTACCTGGGTGGCAGAGTAATGACATTATTCCTTCCTCTGCTTCTTTTCCACTTTACGATGAACAGCCTCACTTGATAACCAGGAAATGAAAGTCAAGTTGAACAACAACTCGAGTGGTCACCAAGCAGGACCCACGTCCCGGGACCACACCCGACTCGTCTGGGGTTTTGCTGTTTATATACTTATGACCAATTTCCTCTTGTTGACATTCAGCTGTGGGTGACGCTGATGCACGTCACGGATATTCCCCCGCCAGGAAAAGTGGGCCACAGTTTCTTTACATGTTGCCAAACAACCCTCACGAAAGGTTTTTCAACAGGGGCTCAGACATATCCTCGCACACGCACATCCACAGCAGCACTGGTCGCCACCACCAAAAGGTGGAAACAACCCAAGTGTCCATCAACGGATGAATGGAAGAACAAAATGTGGTCCCTCCACACAACGGAATGTTATTTGACCATAAAAATGGGTGATATACTGACACACGCTACATTGTGGATGAACCTTAGAAATGTTAGGCTGAGTGAAAGAAGCCAGACACAAAAGGCCACATAGTATGTGATTCTGTTTATGTGAAATACCCAGAACAGGCAAATCCAGAGAGACAGAAGAGGGCTGGGAGAGGAGGGATGGGGAGTGACTGCTAATGGAGACAGGGTTTCTTTGGGGGAAGATGGAAATTAGAACTAGTCAGAGATGATGGTTGCACAACACTGCAAATGTGCTAAATTCCACTGAAACGTTCACTTAAAACTGGTGAGTATTACAAGAATTCTACCTTAATTGAAAAAAAAGGAAAGGTGCCAAGCACGGGATCAACCGCAGGCACAGGAGTGAAGGAAAAGGACTTGCAGGGAGGTGCTGCCCGCTTGCCTGCCCCACACCTGCTCACCTGCCGGGCGATGCTCTGCACCAGCTTGTCCATGGTGAAGCCCACGTAGGCGTGGATAGTGAACATCTCGCGCAGGGTGTCCTCGTACTGCGTGGGGTCGATGCTGCCCTCCAGCAGGCTCCGCACCATGTCCAGGAAGGCCGGGTAGTATTCCTCCAGCTCCACCTCACCTGAGGGGGCGGCACCATGGTCACGGAGGGCCCGGCTCCCACGCGGCCACCACCAGGAAGGATCTGGAGTCACCGCCTCCCACTGCAGGTGGCCCGTGGCTCTGGGGCAGCTGCTCAGCTGGCCCGCCTCCCCTCCCAGATCTCAGAGGCAAGCCCCCATGGTGTCATCCCTGGGCCCAGGGGCTCACTTGGCTGCTTCAGCCGCAGCTCCATGGCGGGGTCGTTGCCCTTCTCCCGGCGGCCCTCGCAGAGCAGTTTCTCCCTTTCCTTCTCCGTCCGGTACTCCAGGAGCTGCTTCTGTGCCTGGCGGTAGATCTTCAGAAGCCTGGAGCACAGGGTCTGATGGAGGCGCAGGAAGAAGTACCAGTTGTTGTTGGCGAAGAAGAGGCTGTAGACGTCGTCCAGGGGCTTGTGCTGCGGCGGCCGCTGCTCTGTGGCCGGCGCCTCGCCCGAGGCCCCCTTCTCCTCCGGGGCGCTGCTCTGCGGTCCGGGCGCTGGCTTCTTCCGGTCACCAGGGTCTGCACTCTGCCCCTGGGGGCTCCCCCGGCCCTCATCGGCGGAGTCCTCGGACGCGCCCAGGTCCAGCTGCTGGGAGAAGAAGAGGCTGGGCACGAACTGGTGCACCAGCTGGTGGATGGTGCCCTGGTCCTCCTTCTGGATGGCCGGCTGCCGCTTCACGTAGTAGCTGATGAGGGCGGCCGCGTCCTCCAGGATCTGCCGGTCCTCGTATACGAAGATGAGGTGCGGCTCGCTGGAGGGGGCGCTGCGGCCCTCCGAGTGCTGCTCCTGGTGCTGGGGAAACAGGGCGGCTGTTAGACGGGAAGCGACCCACTGGGAGAACTCCAAGTAGGGGGTCCAGGGCCACGGGGCTCTGAGGGCATCACAATGGCTGGGGGCCCAGCTGAGCTCTGGAACCAAAACGAGGCCCAACTCCCACTACCAAGGCCTACAGCAGCACTCAGAGGCTGGGGGAAACGAGGCGAGCAGCACCCTGATTATTCGAGTCCAGCTGACCCAGGCTGCCTTGGGGGTGAGGAAGGCTCAGGGAGGACCACGGGCCTCTGCCCACCATCATTCATTCACAGACACTTGGCTAGACCCCGGAAGACCTGCAACTGCTTGCACTCCGGCCCGGCCCCCTCAGCCCCGCACACCCGGTCCGTCACCACCCCGCAACGTTCCCTGCCTCTGTCCTTTCCCCGCCTGCCACCAGCCCTTCCATGGTCCTGCCATCACCCGGTGCTGGCACAAGCCTCCCACCTACTCGCTCCCGTTCACCAGCCCACGCCAACCACTCCCCTCACTGAGTCCAGAGCCACACAGAAGCACGGTCAGCCCTAGTCGCCCCTCTCTGCTGACAATGGCAGGGTGGCCTCAATCTGCCTCCTGGGCCAGCCCTATGCTGGGTGCTACAGAAACACCCATCCTCACCCCTACGCAGCCCAGCGAGGGCAACGGAGGCACAGAGAGCTGGCCATCTGCTCGAGGCCAGGAGAGCCAGAGCTTGGGCCGGGCAGCCTGCCCCGACCCCGGCTGAGGAGGGCCTCACCTCGTCATAGACACTCTCAATCTCATTGAGCAAGCTCTTGGAGCGAAGGGCCTTGGTGTCATTCTGCTTGAAGTTCACGGCCTGGTGGTCCAGGGACTTGAGGTACGCCTTCTCATACTGCTCCCGCCAGATCTTGTTGAAGCCCTGCTGGGCCTCCCGCCACTCCTCCTCTTTGGCCTTCAGCCTGCAGGGCCAGAGGGGCTCAGCACACGGACAACCCGGGACACCCGCCCGAGTCACCCCTGTGCAGGGCCAGCCTGTCTTCCACCCACAGACCCACTGGACATGTTCCACACTCGGGACCGCCAGCTCCAGGCCTGTGCAGCGGGCTCTGTGCTGTATAAAGGAGGGAGGGGGTAACGGCCCTGTGGAACCCGCACAGCCAGTTTTAAGGTTTCTCAAACATCGCTGTCCTGGCCCACAGAACTGACTGCGCTCTATGCAGCTGCTGGCTCGACCGCCGGGCTCCCTTGCTCAACTGTGAACCCCGCAATGGAAGCGACTGTGTTGGGCTCGTTTGGCTCTGTAGCCCCAGGGCTGGGTACAGCACCTGGCTGAGGGCAGCCATTTAACCAATACCTGTTCACTGGCACAGTGAGGGTCCCAAACATATGATTAAATAAAAGGCAAGCCGTGATATAGGATGGTCCCATTTGTGCTTTAAAATAGTTACTTTTCATGTTCACGTTGTGATATGATTATGTGCATGGCAGAAAGTTCTAGGAGGACACAAACAACTGTTGACAGTTGTGCTTTCCTCTCGGGGATGGAATGGGGAGATGAAGCAAGACTGGAAAACACTGTAACCAACCAGACTGAGACCCCAGGGACCCCCTCACGATTACACCCGTGACAAACAGCACTAATGAGCTGCTGGGGGGCTCCCTGCAGCAGGCAGGGTGGTCAGAAGCATGAGGACACCTTTTCAGGACGACGGGGACAGCGGTGACAGGGTTCTTCTTGAGGCTCTCAATGATCTCCGGAGCCTTGTCGCCATAAATGCGGTGGATGGCGCGGCGCTGGATCACCTCCGACGTGCCCCCCAGACAGTCGTCCAGCCGGAACTTCTCCTGGTCTTCCGGCGCCATCCGGGAGAGCTTCTTCTGCACGCTTTCCAACACCCGGATCGTGGCCAGGTTGGTCTCCAGGACAACGTCTAACTATGGACAGGAAAGCAGAAAGGGGTCAGCTGTCGGGGCGTCAGTGGGGCCCTAGGGACGGGCCTGGGCTGGCAGAAGGGATGTGCAGAACTGAAGAGGGGACGATAGACATCAGGGTGTGGTGGCCCTGACGTGGGTCTGGGGGACTGGAGGGAGCACAGCTGGTTACGGGGGTGTGGGGGCGGTCCAGACCTGGGCGATGATGGCATCACCTGGACCTCACCACTGGCGGACCCATCTGAGGAGGGGAATGGGTCCTAGGCTGACCCTTCCCACAGGCATCAAAAGCACGTTACACTCAGCAATGAAGAGGAAGGGACGCGTGGTACATACAGCCCCCGGGTGACTCCCCAGAACGTGTGCTGGGGGTAGCCAATCCCCAAAAGTTATATACCATGTGACTGATTCCACTTAGGACAAAGTGAAGGAGGTGGAGGATAGGTTGATGGATGCTGGGAATTGGGGAGGGAGGTGGATGGGGATATAAAGGAACAGTGTGAGAGATCCTCCTGGTCGGGGAACTGTTCAGTATCTTGGCTGTGGTGCTGGATACATGGACCTCCACCGGTGAGAGAACCACACAGAGCTAAACACACATGCACATGCTTGTGCACAAGATACCCTGCCCCCCCGCGCCCCCCACGAATACAAGTCCAACTAGGGAGACGTGAATAAGATCATGGCTGGGTCAATGTCCATATCCCGGCTCTGACACTGTGCCAGAGATTTACAGCTGTTACCACTGGGGAAAGGGCACCCGGATCACTCTGTGTTATTTTTTAAGCTGCATGTGAATCTACAATGATCTCGGTAAAAATTTGCATTAAAAAAATTTACTTAAGTGAACCTAATTTTAGTTAATGAACACACACACACACACACACACACACACACACACACACACACCCAATGCCTAGCCAGCCTGGAGGCCAGCAAGGCAGAAAAGGGAGCCTTTCAGGAGCTGCCCCCTGCTGGAAAGTGCTGGAATCCCTGATACTCTAAAGGAGACGAGAGGGCTCAAGGAGGATCAGGATACAGGCCAGGGTGCAGAGGAGATGAACTGGGGAAAGCGAGGGCAGGGCCGTGGAGAAGGCGGGCCTGCACACACACCTCGAAACGCTCGTCCTCACAGCGGTGCAGCTGCTCCTCGTAGGGTGTCTTCTTGGAGCTGACGAAGGTGGAGTCCTCTGACCAGGAGGGGAAGGACACCCAGGTGTCGTTCAGTACCTGCACCAAGAGGAAATGCCGTGACCAGCGCGCCAGGCCCCCACTCCAGAGTGGTTTACTGTGTTGTCCAGCGTAGAAGACACGAGGATAAGTAACAATACTGATTTTACAGGAAATTACCTTATCATACAAATAGTAAAATTACCTTTAAAGTGGTTTTAAGAGAAAACGTGGCTTTGATCAAGTGAACAAATCTTACTATTAATGCTTTGGGGTTGGCAAACTTTCTCTGTAAAGGGCCAGATAAATATTTTAGGTTTCGCAGATCATTTGGTCTGTCAGGTCTACAGGGATACATCGTTTTATTGTGCTTCACAGATACTGCCTTTTTTTTTTTTTTAAACAATGTGAAGGTTTGCAGCAACCCTGCATCGAGCAAGCTTATCGGTGCCATTTTTCCAACAGCATTTGCTCACTTTGTGTCTCTGTGTCACACTTTGGTGATTCTCACAATATTTCAAGCTTTTTCATTATTATTACATTTGTTATAGGGATCTGTGATCAGTGACTCGCTGAAGGCTCAGATGATGGTTAGCTTATTTTAGCAATAAAATATTTTAAATTAAGGTATATACATTGTTTTGTTCAGACATAACACTACTGCACACTTATCAGGCTACAGTACAGTATAAACGTAACTTTTATATGCACTGGGAGACCAAAGAATTTGTGTGACTCGCTTTATTGCGATGTTTGCTTTATTGCAGTGCTCTGGAACCAAACCCACAATATCTCCAAGGCACGCCTGTACTCAACTCTGCTCTTGTCCTGGCAAAGCAGCCGCAGGCAGTATGTAAACAAATGGGCATGTCCATGTGCCAATAAAACTTTACTTACAAACACAGGCAGTGGGCCGGATTTGGCTCATGGGCCATAGTCTGCTGACTCCCAGACTACATATCCTGGAATCCAGCAGGCACTCTTGAATTCTGGAAATGCAGTAAGCCTGTCTACTAACTCTGAAAAAGTGTTCAGTGGTCAAGCTAAACAGAAACATGCTGAAGGCAGTGAACCTGGAACAGAGCGGGCTCAAGGCAGAAATAAATCTCGGTCTAAATGATGGAGGAACAAGCCAAACCCTATGCTGGCGCCGTGTGCTCTGCAGCTTGCCAGAACCACCAGCAGGGTAAGAAACTGTCATCTCCACCCATGCATTTTGTTTTGGCACATCCCGGCACCATCCACCATTCACCATCGGGGGGATCAACACTCGGTCCTCCACGTGGAACACAGGAGGGGGTAAGGAGCATGCAGCACACAAGCTGACGTGAGCCCCGGGAAGCGCTACCTCCTTGCAGATGGCCGTCCTCCCGCTGCACTTGGGCTGCTGGTAGGTTTTGGGGAGCGCCCGGTAGCTGGATCCGATGCGCTTGCATGAGGCGTAGTCGATTTCCCGGCTTATTCCATCCCCGGATCTGTCACTCATGGGTGGGGCGAAGGACAGCTCTTTCACCCCCAAGAAGGACTTGAACTGTGCAAAGAGTTCTGGAAATTTCCTTCAGAAATAAAGACAAGTCGGAGGGAGGTGGGAGGGACAAATCAGGAGTTTGGGATTAGCAGATACACACTACTATATATAAAATAGATAAACAACAAGGTCCTACTGTATAGCACAGGGAACATATTTGGTATCTTATAATAACCTATAATGGAACAGAATCTGAGAAAGAATAAATAAATATATATATCTGAATCCCTTTGCTGTACACCAAAAACTAACACAACATTGTAAATCAACTATACTTCAATTTTTTTTTTTAAGTCTAAAAAAAAAAAAAAGAAATAAAGACAAATGGTAAGTAGCATCCCGAGGGCCTTCTGAGAATGATCTAGAGATGTTAAAATGGCTTCATGTTGATGCCGGCAGTTAAAGATGGTCAGAATCAACATCAGAGAGGAGGGGCGAGAGGCAGAACGAGCATCCAACACGTGTGAAGTTGCCGCGTGTGTGAATCTGCCCTCCAGCCCTCTGTCACCAACCAGGCCCCACCGCTTGCGGGAGGTCCTTGAACACGCCAAATAAAATGACCTGGGCTGGCAGAAGCTGGGGTCAGCGATGTATGTTCCCTGACTGGAAGAGGCCAGGCATTAGGCCAAGGATCAGCAAACTAGTCAACCTCCCCACAACTGCCTGTAAACAGTCGGTCACATCCACTCCTTTAGTATTGCCTGTGGCTGCTTGCGCACAATGCCAGAAGCTGGTTAGCAGTGACCCTTGGCCCTTGACAGAGAAAATCTGCTTCCCAGCTCCAGGGCCTTCCTCCCTCATGAGGGAGACCCCCTCCCTAGACAAATTCTCATAATGTAATGGTCGTGCATGTCGATGGGAAGGTTTTAACGCAACTGACCCCCAATGCCATCTGCACTAATGTTTAAATGAGTATCAAATCCTACAGAAAGGGGGCAGATATTTTGACAGCTGGTGTGATGATCCTGCCATTACTAAGCCTGGCAGTCTCCCCTCATGAACTACGTGCCCCTAGGCGGCACGCCTGTAGGGACCCCCGCCAACTCAGCTCACAAGGAAAACCCGCAAGCCAACGGAAATGCAGGGAAGGAAGACATCAACAACATGGGTGTAGAGGATGCCTGAGGTTACAGCAGGATAAACCACTCTGAAGGGGAGGCTTACCCCACTCCAGCCCCAACTCCAGCCATGCTGTCACCAGGTGGCAGCTCTCTGGGCCACTGCACTCAGCTGCCCGTGGGTGTACAAACCCAGAAAGAAGCTGGCCCATGCAAACAGAGGCCTCATGGTGGGGAGGGGGGTGGGCGTGAACCCAGCGCAAGATGAGCGAGCAGAAGCCGCTTCATTTCTCTGCTTTGCTGCACACGCCCGTGGCCCTCTCCCCCGCCTGGAGTCTCTAACTGCTGCTCACATGTCGAAACGGGAATAGCTGACCCTGACCGAGCTCAGAGCACTGGATTCTGAGCGGCGCAGATGTACTTCGATGTGAGCGTGTCCAAATCCACGTAAAAAACCAGCCACGTTTTAGCCGAGACTGTGTGACACCTGCCACCCTGCTCTGGGTGGTTTTTCAGAGCGTTAACAGATCTAGCCCCAGAAAGTTAATCCAAGTGAAAAGGTCACCCTGATGTGTGTACACTCTTGGGACCACCAAGGAAGCACCTCCTGATGACCTTAACTCAACCTTTGAGTATCCCAGCCCAAGAGCATAATCTCAGCACGGATGACAGGGGGAAACTGGAGATAAACGTCCATTGTTGCAGACCCTGCTGAGAAAACCATGGTACATACACTGTGCAGTCACTAAAAACGATTGGTTGGGTCTAAGAATTGCTGAGTTTAAAAAAGAAAAAAAGAGAAGACTACAGCCCAGCCTGACAGCGTGATGCCATTTATGTGGAACTCAACTGCCACAATCAGATCCCGAGAGCAGACGATGAGCGAAGGGTGGGCTTCCAGGCCTCATCCCCCTGAACTCGCCCATCACCGTGCAAAGCTCTCTTTTGAGAGCTTATCCTGGAGAGAGTGAGAGGTATCCGTTCTGGGCCTCAGTTTCCTCAGCTTAAAATGTATTGAGACACATCAAATGTGTTTAAATTCATGAGTTCATGTAACGCCAAAGAAATTGGTCCGTTTTTCAGGTCCTAATTGGCCTGATGAGACAGGAAAGCGACTCATCACCCTGACACTGTAATAAAGGGAGAAATCAAGCATCTATCTTGGGTCACCAAAAGGTGATAAATACTGTTGAGATGCTCTTCTGCAACCCGCAGTGAATGAATAAACAAAGGAATAAACCACAGAAAGAACTCAGAGGATACCACTGCCTCCTGACAGACAGAGGGATGTGGGGGAATGTGAAGGTGCATTTGGGAAAATGCACCCATGCCATGGGGATGCCAATGCAGACACGGTAAGGAATAAACTTGCAGAGGGAACCTAGAGATGAAGAGGGACGTACAAGACGTATTAGAAAACAAAACCCAGACCACGAGGTGAGACTGAGCCGTGTGTTTGGCGGTGTCCGCCTGGGTTGGCTGCGCCGTAATTAGTGTAGGGAGGTGGTCACTCCCAAGCCAAGGGAGGGAGCATGACTGAAATGGCAGGTGGAGGGGCTCCTGGAGGTTGGCAAAGGTCCATCTGTGACCTGGGTGGTGGGCACAAGGGTGTCTGCCTAATAATGATTCACCAAGCCGTTCTTCTGTTATGTGGTTTCCTGGATCTGTGTTTTATTTTACATTAAAAAAAAAAGTTTAAAAAACTTTTTTAATTAATAGAAAGGGAATCAGGTAGCTGCCCCCAGGGGCCGGCAGCCTCTGGGGTTGTCTTGGGGGCTAAACAGGACGCCGCAGACGTCACGTATAATGCAAACTCACCGTGTTCGAGATGCTATTATTTTTTTTTTTTTTGTGGTACATGGGCCTCTCACTGTTGTGGCCTCTCCTGTTGCAGAGCACAGGCTCTGAATGCGCAGGCTCAGCGGCCATATCTCACGGGCCCAGCCGCTCCGCGGCACGTGGGATCTTCCCGGACCGGGGCACGAGCCCGTGTCCCCTGCATCGGCAGGCGGACTCTCAACCACTGCGCCACCAGGGAAACCCCCTCGAGATGCTATTTTAAGGGTCTTCAGGCAGAGCCCATTTGAAACTTTCTGAAACCCTGCACAGGTATATTTATGATCCCCCTTTGACAGAATGGAAACTGAGGCTCAGACGGGCTAGGAAACTCGCTGGGCATGACAGGGCTGGTGAGTGGGAAGCACACTGGGAGCCAGCAGACTCCCCTTCCCACAGCACAGGTGCATGACCTGCGGATGCACAGTCACCTCCCAGGACAGCTCCGCCCCCTCAGAGGCTGCCGGGCCCTCGGGGGGGGCAGCTCACACAGGGCAGCAGGACGTGCTGGAAGCGGGTAACGGATCTGCTAACAGAGTTTCTCTCTGGGCAGCAGGGATGCTGTGTGGTCATTTCATTCTTCCCAGTAATTTCTGATTCTTAGAATTTTAAAAAGCATAATGAATCTCCAGGGAATTATGCTGGGTGAAAAAAGCTGATCCTGAATGGTTACACAGTGTGATTCCATTTACATAATACTTTTGCTATATAAGCTTTAGAGAAGGAACACAGGTATTAGGGATTGTCAGGGGCTTGGGCTGTGGGAGGGACCTGGGTGTGGGTATCAAAGGCCAACGCAAGGATCTTTGTGGTTCTGAAGCTGCTCGGTACCTGGACAGTGGTGGTGGACACACCAACCTTCACAGGTGATACAGCTGTACACACACACACACACAGGTAAAATGGGAAACCTGAAAAGATGGGTGGCTTGTGTGAATATCAACATACTGGCTATGACACTGACTAGAGATGTTACCACGAGGGAACGCTGCCCAGGACCTCTCTGTGTTCTTTCTTACAACTGCTGGTGAATCTATAATGATCTCTGTAACAACTGCAACTTAAAGACAAGATCGAAAAAAACACGTATACCGTTTTCCAAAGACAATAGCCAAAAGAAGGGTGAAAGGGATTTACAGAAACAAAACCCAAGTGGGGAGCCCCGAGAAGTGTCGCTCACCCTAGAAATGGGCTGACCAGCTGGAGGAGCTCAGAGCCGGACACAAGCTCCTGGTTGAAGAGCGCGATGCAGCGGAGGAAGTTCTCGTAGACCTCCTGGCTCTTCAGCACCCTGCGCACCTGTGGGGAGAGCGAGTCAGGGGGCCCCTACCGGGCCCAACTCCCGCTCCTGAGCACACCTGGCTCTGCTATCACCAGGTGCACACAGAGTCACCAACACAGGCGTGTTCTAAAGGGGCCGGCTGTGGTCTGCAGCGGACTGCTCTCCGTGCAGTGATCTTTGGCTCAGACAGCATGTGCCTAGAGCCATCTCACTGACTCTGCCCACTGACTCTGGACAGAAGCCCCAGGACCATCCCAGCTTTAGAGATGCCACACAGCTTCTGAGTGGCAGACATGTGCCCCCAAACTTGGTGTGGGCTCTGAGCTCTGCCTTTCCCACCTGTTTCGCTACCTCCTGCCCGCCTGTCGCCTGCTCCCAACCCTGCCTGCTCAGATCTGAGCTGGGCGAGGCCAGCCTGGACGGGGCATGGCCCAGAAGTCGTGGGTCCCACCGCTCACCTTGTCAAAGAAGGAGAACTCCTGCAGAGTCCCGTACTTCCCCACGGTGGCGATGGACAGGTCTTTGGTACCACGGAGTTTCATTTTCTTCTGTAGAGAGAAATTCCATGCCACGGATGCTGTGTGCCTCCCACAGGCAGCCCGTGTCCATCTTTATTAGAATCATAACATCACCAACACTGAGCTCTCCTGATGGAACCGCCATCAGGTGCTGGATGAGGTCTGCCCAAGACCCCCGTGGATGAACCTCTCAGGACCACCCACCTCAGCCTCCATGACCTAGTGAAGGGTTAAAGGTCACACAACCACTCTGCCCACAATCTGGGATCTAACTTTCAGCAGTTTAGCTCTTTTGATGTCAGGAGGGATTGTCATAGAGTAAGAACAACCAGGGAAACATGCCCCTAGATACTGTATCAGAAACCTCTTCCCCTGCCTGTTTCGTCCTGTGGGCCGTGATGGTGATGGGAAGGGGACCTGAACTTGGCCACTCTGCTGAGACATCGAGGACTCTACAGAACCATCTCCCACATGCCTGAAGAATGATGGGGATGTGTCAAGAGGACACAAGAGCCAGCCCAAAGGGCCCCACTGGCCAGATCTGGGACGGTTTAGGCATCAAGATAAACAGTGATAGTCACGGATTATAACCCGAGTCTATGAAGATACACATAATTAAATAAATGGAGATGAAAAAAAGCTCTTCCTTACAGTAGAAAGCCAACTAGTAAATGCATAAAGAATGATGGAATTAGAAAATCACCATCACAGGTGATGGGAACAACAGGAGCTGGACCTCAGTGCCTCTCACCCCCTAGCAGGGCGCCTCGTGCAGTAACCGACCTGCACAACTGTACACAAGGGCCCTGCCTGTGAAAGAGCTGTGATGGTGAAAAGGAGCAGACTGAGCAGTACATCCGGTTTCTGCGAGGAGGTGACACTCCTCACACAATCTTGTGAGCCGGGGGCACAGGTGACCGGCCACCTCACAGGTGAGTCAACTTCTCAAGGTCCAACAGCCAGTGAATTTCAAGCTGGACTAGAGCCTGGACTCGGCCTCATGCCCCAGGTCTCTGCCTATTGCTCCGCAAGTCATCTACAGGGAAGGCCAGGCTGCTGGGTGTCCACGCATGCACACACCTATGTGCACAGCTGACAGTTACCTTGGCTGGTGCTGACACGGGACGGAGGAGTGAGGGCCGAGAGCGCTTTTTGCTGTGTTCCAGATTCTTCTCGTGCTCGCTCTTTTGGACACTGTTCATTTCGCATGGCCCATTTCCTGTGAACTAAGGACACAAACACAGGAGGTGGTCAGCGCTGGAGAGGCACAGCCAGGCCCATCAGTGCTGGTTCTCAATGTAACCTAGTGCGTGGAACCACTTGCAGCTCAGCTCATGGCCCCAGCAAGCACCGTCTGCCACGGGCCAGGGGCTCTGTCCCAGTGCGAGGTGACCCTGGCTCTCAAGATGCTCACGTTTACTGGAGGAAAGACCCGTGTACCCAGCTCACCACAGTCGCGCACTGTGAGGCTGGGAGAAGGCTCATGGAAGGCCTCGATGGGCGAGGGTCCTGACAGGTGATGGAGGGCTCAGTGGGGAGACACTGAAGCTGGGCCTTGGCGTGTGGGGCTCACCCAGCAGACCACTGACAGGGTGTCTGCCTGTATGTTTGAGCGCACCACAGAAAGGAAAAGAATTTCAGGCTAGAGGACCAGCAACGTGCAAGGCCCTGGCAGCAAGAGGAAGAAGCTGACGGTGCCAGGTCACTGGGGCAGGGAGGAGGGGTTCCAGTCAAGTTTGCAATCTTTCCTACGAATAAGAAGACACATCTTGGGGACAATGTCATCACCCGGTGGGGTGCTCACTGCTAGTCCTCCCAGGCTCTACACCAAGCACTGATTAACAGGTCAGGGTACTGGCAATATTTAGGAAGAATGGTTCTGGAAGGATCTATTCGGCATTTGCATCTGTATGAAAGTCAGAGCAGGCAGGGGGGAAGGTGAACAGACCATGGCTTTTCTTCAGGGCTGGGCTGGAGAGGCACACTGCAATCAGCCCCACTATGTTCACGTTGCCTGCACCCGCTCCCACCACGGGGCCTATATGCGGAGACACTACGTGAAGGCTGTGCTGTCAGCCCAAAGCGTGGGCTGGGTGAACAAATCGTGGTGCATCCAAACCAAACAGAGGCAACTGTCGGCTATGAGTTAGCTCTGTGTCTCTGTGTCCACTGGTCACTGCTAGGGACAGGCATACGTGATACACTGTTATGACAAACAGAAAAAACCGTAGGGGCAGAACAAATGGGACGCCATCTTTTTTAAAAAGGATAAACATTTGTTTGCACATTCACAGGAGATTTCTGGAAAGATACATACTATAAGACACTTGTAACTACTTAACTCTGAGGAAACTGAGAATAGGAAAAAGGGAAGCTAACTTTTCATACTTGATGCTCTCGCGAATGCTTGACTTTTCTCATGAGCATGTACTATTTTTATATTCATAATTATAATAATAAAGACCTATTGTTTAACTACAGGCAAAACCTGTCCCTTAGAGGATTAAGCTTCTTTGGAGGGATTAGTTATCCGAAGATCCAAGGCTACTCCAAGAACCTAATGTGGAATAATTCTCAACTGGTATTTGCTGTAGATCCCAGAACAGGTGCAAACACCAATTCCTAAAGGAGGGGGACAGGTGACGATATGACGCGCTAAGTACGACTTGGGTGGGGGGGGCGGGGTTGGGAGGAAAGTGGGTAACCCACTGCTTGCCCGGCTAAGCTCACCCAGCTGGAAGGCAAGCTCAGTACCACCGATCTTCCCCTAACAGTTCAGGCAGTTCTTTGGTTTCAGTTAAATGTCCCAATGTGCAAATGCCTGAGGCAGAAGACCCCCAAAGACCATTCACATAGGGACTGGCTTGGCTTGCGTTTGCAAATAAAATTGGACTGGCACACAGCCATGCCCATTCGTTGATGTACGGGCCTGTGGCTGCTTTCCCGCTACCACGGCAGAGCTGAGTCTTTGCCACCCAGACTGTCTGCTCTGCAAAGCCTAAGATACTTACTGTCTGGCCCTTTATAGAAAAACTTTGCTAAGCCCTGATCTAGGCAAAGCAGTCGAGTTTAATTAGGACAATATCAAATTTCACCTTTGCTTTCTTTTTCCTGCAGTTTTAATAGAAATCTAAAAGTTAATGAAAAGATCATTCTATATGACAAATTACTTATGAGCGTTTTAGTAATTTTTAAAAGTTGATTAAATCTTTTAAAATGTACAAGACAGTTCTAATTACACAATATACACTTAAAAAAAACACTGCTGAATTGATAACAAATGCCATTTAAAGAAACTCTGTGGGCAGGTGCTTTTCTGAGAGAAATGCTTATTTTTCTAGGGTGGGCTTTGTCAGTGTCCAACTTGGTAAATGCCAAGTTGTGTCCACCAGGGGGCACTGCAACCACAGCCCTCAGAGGACAAGAGGCTCTACTCACCCCCAACCCTGACCCATCAAGATGATAACTCAGGAACCAAGGCCTGCAAAAAGTTCATGTGAGCTGTGCAGCAGCAAAAGCTGGCCAGGGACAGAGCCAGGCCTTTCTTCCCTGAGGCCATGAGGGTAGACTGCCCCTAGACCCTGAAGCATTGACAGCAATGACCCTGGGAAGGCCACCCAGGGATGCCACTGTGCACACATCTCTGCGGGGATGGGGTTCAGGGGAAAAGCTGCCAATGCCAGGGTCAGAGCTGAGATTTGAGGCTAAGACCCAAGAGGATGAGACCCAAAAACTATCCACCAACTGTACAAGGGAGCAACACAGGGCTTTACAGCGGGTGACAGCATGTAGCTTGGGCTCCCAGGGACACAGAGGCCCAAGCACCCACAACCTTGAGCTAAGCCAACACAAGAAGGGTATGAAGCGGGAAGGAGGTGGTGAGAGCCCTCTGCTCCTCAGCCACGTGGCCCCCGGAGCCAGTTAGGAGAGTCTTTGACGAGCAGGAGCATACAGAGAAGGAAGATGGGAATGATGCTAGGGCTGCCAAGGACAGCTATTTGGGAACAGGGAGAAAAAAACCAAGTAGGGATTCTGAAGTTCAGAGAGATCCGCGGGGCAGATAATGGACTCAGAGGAGAAAGCTGGGCTCGGGGATGGGGCCGTGAGGAGGCAGCTGGGCTGAGAGGCCCAGTGTAGAGGTGAGCTCCCTGCCCCCGGGGAGTCCAGACAAGGGCTTCCTTCAACTGCCCCCCGCCCCCCCGGTATCCCCCAAGAGCCTCCAGCAGGCCAGGCAGCCGGCTGGTCCTGGAGATGCAGAGGGAGACCCTGGGAGGAGGGGATGAGACGACCAGATGGGATTCTAGGCCTACTTTCCCAGCACAACCGCAGCTGCTCTTTCCGGAACACTGAGCCCCAGCCAGGCCCCGCGAGAGAGAGAAGGCAATGAGGCCTGGGAGGTGACACGGCCGGCTCAAGCCTGCCTGTAGCACCCAGAGCCTGAGGAGGCCCAGGCTGTGTGCTCACGGGGCTCTGTCCAGGCCCCCAGGACACCCAAGGCTCCGGGCGGGTGGGCAGGACTGGTTACAGCTCCTGGATTTGTTTTCAGCCCAAAGGATGGGCACAGAGCTTCTCTGACTCTGAGTCAGGAAGTGCTTCTGGGTGGAACCTCCTCTTAGGGATGGTGCTCTGTGTCCCAGAGACAGTAACATGGGGACAAGCCCCGACCCGCACACCGGAAGTCTGCCCAATCGACTAAGAGTCTTGAACAGCATCCAAACTCAGACCGCTATCACCCCCGAGCCCCTTCCTTCAAGACCCACTGCCACCCAGCCCTGTGCCCCCACTGCATCTTCATTCAAGAAGCAGACCCGGGAGAGGCGGTGGTGACACAGGAAGGTGGGAAGGATGGACTCTTGTGTGCTCACACGCCAAGTTGTCGTCGAGGGCAAAGAGGAAGAATAAAAAGAGGAAAGAGAACACTCAACAACCTAGGAAGAGAAGGAGCTTCCTCAACTTGAGGGTGCTTACGGAAAACCCACAGCTCACATCACACTCAATGGTGCAAGATGGAAAGCTTTTCCTCTAAGATCAGGAGCAAGATGTGGATATTGACCCTCACCACTTCTACTCAGCACAGTACTAGAAGTTCCATCAGAGCAATTAGGCCAAAACAGGAAATAAAAGGCATCCAAAATGGAAAGGAAGAAAGAAAACTAGCTCTATTAGCAAACGCGAAGGAATCCACAAAAACTATCAAAGCTAATAAACTGGATACGGCAAAGCTGCAGGATACAAAATCAACACAAAAAAGCAGTGGTGTTTCTATACATGAGCAATGAATAATCCAAAAATGAAATTAAGAAAACAATTCCATTTACAACAACAAAAAGAACAAAATATTTGGAAATACATTTAACCAAGGGGGTGCAAGACTTACACAATGAAAAAAAACTTTGAAACACTGTTGAAAGAAACTAAAGACTTAAATAAATGGAAAAATGCTGTGTATTTGTGGATTAATCTTGTTAGGATGGCAATACTCCCCCAAACAGTTGAAAGATTCAATGCAATCATTTTCAAAATCCCAACGGCCTTTTTTGCTGGAGTGGAAAAGCCAATCTTTAAATTCATATGGAATTGCAAGGGGCCCTGACTAGCCAAAACAATCTTGAAAAAAAAAAACAAAGTTGGGGGACTCACACTTCCTGATTTCAAACTTACTACAAAGCTACAGTAATCATGACAGTGTGGTGCTGGCCTAAGGGCAGACATGGAGATCAATGGATTAGAACTGAGTCCGGAAATAAACCCATAAAACTCTGGTCAATTGATTTTTGGCAAGAGTGCCAAGACCATGCAATGATGGAAAGAGAACAGTTTCCTCAACAAACTGGATTGCCACATGTAGAGTGGACCCCTACCTCACCATATACAAACATTAACTCAAAATGGGTCACCAACCTGAATAGAAGAGCTAACACTGTACAAGTATTAAAAGAAAACTTTAGGTAAACCTTCATGACCTCAGAAGTAGCAATGGATTCTGAGATTTGACACTGAAAACATGAGCAACAAAAGAAAAAATAGGCAATCGGACTTGACCGAAATTTAAAACTGATGCGCACCAACACTAACAAGAACGCGAAAACACAACCTACAGAATAGAGGAAAATATTTGATAAAGGACTAATGTCAAGAGCATATAAAGAACTCTTACAACCCAGCAACAGAGACGGTGCAAAGTACTTAAATAGACATTTCTCCAAAGAAGATAAACAGATGGCCAATGAGCACATGAAATGCCCAATATCATTAGTCAGCAGGGAAATGCAAATCAAAACCACAATAAGATACCATTTCACACCAACTACAAAGGCTATACATTTTTTTTAAAAAGGAAAACCTCAAGCATTGGTGATGATGCGGAAAACTGAAACCCTGGTATATTGCTAGTGAGAACGTAAAATGGTCCAGCCACTGTGGAAAACAGTGTGGCAGTTCCTCAAAAGTTTAACACAGTTACCACATGAGTCAGCACCTCCACTCCTAGGCATAGACAGAAAATGACTGAAAGCAGGTGTTCAAACAAAAAATTGTACATGCATGTTCACAGCACGATTCACAATGACTGAAAGGTGGCAACAACCCAAGTGTCCACTGATGGATAAATGGATGAACAAAATGTGGTCCATCCACACAATGGAATTATTATTTAGCCATAGAAGGGATGAAGTTCTGACACATGCTACATCATGGATGAACCTTAAAATCATGACGCTGAGTGAAAAAGCCAGACACCAACCCAAGGGCCACATGTTGCATGATTCCATCTATGTGAAATATCCGAACAGGTAAATCCATAGAGACAGAAAGCAGATTGGTGGTTGCCAGAATCTAAGGAGCAGGGGATGGGGAGTGACTGCTAATGGGGACAGGTCTCCTTTTGGGGTGATGGGAATGTTCTGAAACTAGAGAGGGGTGATGGCTGCACAACATTTTAAATATTCTAAATGCTACTGAAATGTACATTTTTAAATGGTGAGTTTTATGTTACGTGAATTTTCCTTCAATCTTTTTTTTTTTTAAAAAGCCATAAGTTCATAGGAAAAAAAAAAAGAGGAAATGGAAAGGGCAGGTCAGCAGGCCTCACTCCACAGCAAAGGCAGAAAGGCTGACAGTGCAGTCTGCACCCCCAACCTCCCCATCGCAGGCCCCTCCTCCGCTATCAGCTCTCTGCACTCCCACCCCGAGTCACTGCCAAGCCTCCACCCAGTCCCTCCAGGGGGGTAGGCAGTGAGCCTGACCCCTCCCGCACCTTCCCACAAGGACCTGGTTACAGGCAGGTCTCCATGGGAAGACACTCTGCCTCCCAACGAGCCCTCATCACCTGGCTGCTGTCTGTCCAGAGAAGCCCTTTTGAGGATTTGCGCCAGCTCCCCGTGGAGGTGGAACCTGCACTGGGGGCCTGTGCGTGTCTGCGCTGGCTGTGGCTTCTGAGGGAACCCAGTGTGTCTGGGGAGTGGATAAACCTGGCCTGGCCTGGGGGCTGCACTGGCAGGGGGTTCTGGCTGATGAGAACGTGGCCCCAGACTGGCGTCGGTGGTCTGTACTCACCAGGGACCGCTTGGCTTCGGGCAGGAACTGTCCAAACTCGGAGAGCAGGTCCTCCTGGCCGCGGAAGAGGTTGGCCACCTCGGTGAACACCTCCTCTTCAGACATGCCTCGGAACGGACGGCCCTTCGTGCTCAGCTGCTCCTTCTGCCGATTTTCAGGGGAGGGAAAACGAGTCGTTAGCCAAGGAACCAGGAGGCACCCTAGGCTGTGACATTCAGGCATCCCACTGTGGAGGAGACAGAGGGATGACTCACGAAAGAAAACTGGCTGGCAGAGCCTGTGACTGCTGCCACCAGGAGAGGGGGTCCAGCCCGCTGCCCTGCTGACACCTCCGGGTGTCCCCCAACCACTCCCCCGCTCCCCCACCCCCTGCTCTGGAGAACAGCCTGTGCGCTTGAGTCTTGACCCTGCCGCACGACGCGGCCTGAGCCCTGGCCATGGATGCGGGCTGTGCTGGGAGTGTGGAGGGGATGTGGGAGGGGACGGTCATGGAAGGACCTGACCCCAGCCCTCAAGCACCCTTGAGCAGAGGCTGGGGAAGTGCAAGGTCAGTGGCGAACCCACGGTCCTCCCAAGGTCAGGACTCATTCTGCTGGGCAGGGGACTGAGGAGCTAGCTCTGGGTCTGGAAGGGGCAGAGGGTGAAGAAGGAAGGGAAGGGACTTAGAGGTCAAAGGACCTGTTCCCCCAGAGTCACTAAGACTCTGGAAGGAAGACGGCTTGACCTGGAGCTTAAAGCAACAAGATGAGGACCAGACGGGACCCAGGTCAGCAGGGCAGAAAGCAGCGAACACAACTCAAGTCGGCCATCAGAAGTTAGTCCCTGTCAACTTTACACCCAGGAACGTGACAGAGCATGAGGCGCTGGTGTCGGGCCCTCCCAGAGCGCCCAGCAGCAGGGCTTCGACATCCCCCCTCCACAGCTGCGAAGGGGGAAGAGACAAGGAATGGGGAGCCCTTTGCACGCCCTCCCCTCTCGGCCCTGTGTACCCTGAGCAAAGTTACTTCCCAATCCTGGCACACGGAGCACCCGTCTGGGGGGAGAAAAAACTGCCTCCACCCTCTCCTGACCAAAGTTACCGGGACACTTGAAGGCCAAAGAAAAAAACAGGCAAAGACCATTCACCTCAGAGAATAAATACAAATCATCCCTATACAGATGAAACAGTGATCAGACTGAGTGATGTTTGAAGAAATACAATTTAAAACAGCGTCACAGCATTTTTGCTCATCAGATTGCATAAGGACTGGTGATTTCTGATGAGGGTGTGGGGAACTGGGCGCTCTCATTACAAGGCGGAAAGGAAGATTGGTGCCACCGGCAGAGGGAAGACTGGCGCCATCTATGATCATGTGCTGAGTGCACACCCTATGACCTAGGGACGCACCTCCTGGGAATTCTCCTGCAGAGAGAGTCAGTTCTGCTCTAACACCTGTTTTGAACACAGATCTGTTTGGGACACGGACTAGGGAATGATTTGAGCGTGGTATGGATTCTGCATTTGCTGAGGCAGGATTTTGTCCAGGAGCAACATGGGGTGAATGTGGAAAAGTGCACCCAGCTGAGCCAAGCCACCTGGTAATACACGACCCCCGACATACACACGCCCCCAACATCGCTCCCTCAGCTGCTAGAGCCACTCTGCCTGACCCCCCTCTGGGGTGACAACCCATCCCATTTTAGGAAACCTGCTCCTGGTACCTCACAGTGACCCGCAGGCTGCAACCTTTCCACACCCATGTCTACACATGACACTAAGGTCTTTTCCAAGGTCACGTGCCGGATGTGCTGCAATATTCACACGTGCTTAGCCATTTAATGCGCGCACAACGGCGCTACCAGTTTCAAGTAGGTGCCTATCTTTTTTTAATGTGTTGCTGACACAGTTTTTGAGTCTCACGCTCTGATCCCGTTTTTCCATAAGACCTGTGGTTGGTGAGCATTTATTTGCAAAGCACGGTCATTTTGGGGGACATCAGGGCAGAACTGGCTGTGCTCATCCAGGCACACGACATATGTTCGAAGTTGTATAAAGGGAACAGCTGCCCATGGCTGACCTGAGGCAAGCACTGTGCTTGCATCAGTGACCTCGGTTAACCATATTTAACTGGGATCAGCACCCACAGCGCTGTAGCCATTTTATGGATTAGAACCCCGAGGTTCAGGGAGGTGAGGCAAAGGGCTCTGAGGGGGCAGGGGGCATAGCTAAGGTCTGACTTGAGGCCCATCAGAGATAAAAAAAAACAGTAATGTATGGCCCTAGAGCTGCTGCTTTGGCCTCACAGTGTCTTTTAAAAATCCGCATCAATGTTCGAAAATCAGGAAGAACTCACACAGAAATTCAGATTTCCAGCTCCTTTTGAAGAAACAGGCAACCTGAGAGTCACCAGGGGGCTTGTTCAAAAAGCAGATGCTGGGCAGGACCTGGGGTAGCAACTCTGAGGGGAGGCCCAGGCAGCTTGCATTTCCAACCAACTCCCTGTGGCTCTGACTGGGGAACACTGAGCCGTGCTTCCTTCCTCACGCTTTCTCCCAATCAACCCGTGGCCCTTTGCTAGGACCTTGGATAAGTCACTTTCACTTCTCTACACGCCAACAAACGGCTCCCCCTCCCCCCCGATTCCCATCAACACAACAGATACCTGCCGGCCTTCCCTCTAACGATCCTTCCAGCCCCTGAGGTGTGGTGACCCCACGGAATCTGTGAAGAGCCCATAAACCCCCATGATCACAACATCACCCCTCCACACAGACTGATGTTCACAGCTGCCACTTGCAACCACTTATCTGTGAGAAGCAGGAAGTTCTCAATGCCGTACAAGGACCGTGCAGACACTGGACATGAGGCTGACAGGACCAAGCATGTCACTGGCACCACTGCCCACAAATGTTTAGAGTACTGAAACAGTTCCAGTGCGTTTACAGGGAACAAATGCTATCAATCTGATCCTAAACATTTATGTTAAACAGAATCCCATGTTTTAATTTCACTTATCAAGGTTGTGCAGAAGATTTCATTTTTAAAAGTGGGTTCTGCTGCTTAGAAAAATAAAAGGCATCAGAAACTCCATGTCTGGGTGAGGATGACATCCGAACTCCTTGCCTGACACAGATGTCCCTTGCCACCCGCCTGCCTGCACTTCCTGCTAAGTGCCCTGAAGCCAGCTGCCTGTTCTGGCCCCTGGGCCTTTGCACAGGCCATTCCCAGCACCGAGAGTCCACCTTTTGACTGACGGTTCTGACTGATTTGCCAAGATTCAACCTGAGTATCCTCTCTGTAACCCGCTATGGGGTCAGCAGCCCTCAACCCTGACACACCTGTCCTACACACAGTCCTTCTCGTCCACCCTAATCATTTCCAAGTTTCCTCCACGTCTAAACTGAACTCCTAAGCAACAGCAACCATTCATCCCTGTCGACCCAGCACCTGGCACAAAGCCCGGTTGTAATCAGCATAAGTAAAGGGTAGTTTATTGTCTAAACAATAACTACGCCATCTTATAAAAAGAAAACTATCTTCTTGGGCTCTTCTTTAATCCTCTAATGTGTGTTTCCTACTGAGGGTGCAGAGGTGCCTCAAGGGGCAAATTAAAATCAAACCTAAATAGAACTCCAAGAGGTACGCCCATGTTCACAGCAGCATTGTTCACAATCGCCAGAATGTGGGAGCAACCCAAGTGTCTGCTGATGGATGAATGGATAAAGAAAATAAGGCGTAGCCATACAATGGAATATTACTCAGCCTTAAAAAGAAGGCCATTCAGACACATGCTACGGTACAGATGGACCTTCAGGGCATTACGCTAAGTGAAACAAGCCAGGCACAGAGGACAAATACTGTACAATTCCACTCCTAGGAGGTCCCTATCGGAGTCAGATTCATAGAGACAGAAAGTACTGACAGAAGGGTGGGCGCCAGGAGCTGGGGGAAATGAGGAAGGGGCAGTTAGTGTTTCATGGGGACAGAGTTTCAGGTGAGGAAGATGAAAAAGTTCTGGAAATGGATGACGGTGATGGCTGTGCAACAATGTGAATGTACTTAATGCCACTGAATGGGACACTTAAAGTTGGTTAAGTTTTGTATTTATATATATTTTACCACGGTAAAAAAAAAAAAAAAAATTAATGCTAAAAAAAAAAAAGAGCTAATCAGAATTTTCCAGGATTTCATGAATTCAGATTAGAAAATCTGAATGTTTCCAATGCACCTGATACTGGATGATGCCACAAACACCCACAAAGAAGTGTGACCTATGGCTTCTTACCTGGTAAGTGTGCAGTATCTCCAGGAATGACCTGTAGATTTCTGGGTGATCTAGAAAGCGGGTCTTAATCTTGTTCACATAGCTGATGGCGTTGTTGAATTCCACGGAATCTGACTCCAAGGGCACCTGCGGTTTGTCCTCCTTATATAGCACCTGCTGCTTGACGTTCTCTGTACAGTCGCTGTGGTTGTGCGAATTCTCCTGACAACAGTACAACAGTGAGTTACTGTTGGGCCCGGCACCGGGAACAGATTGTGAGAAACGCCAGACTGAGCCACTGTGTGCAAGAACAGGCAAAACTTAGCACAGAGCCAAGTTTTTTACATTGACGCAGAAAAAGGTTACTTCTGGAGGCCTGGAGAGAGAGAAGCAGGGAGGGGGCACCCAGAGACAGCCCCACCTCGGCGTTCTGAGTGCCTGAGCGTTCCTGGGAGAGTCTCACGAACTCACCTTTGCCTGATCCTTCCAACAGATTCAGAGAACATGAACCTGAGAGGCACACTCTATACACTTGGAGAAATTAGCATTCGGGAGAGATTTACAAAGAGTGGATTGTTTAATCCTTTTTGGAGCAGAGTAAAGTCTTCCCACACCTCTGGCCAGCCCATTTCAGCAAGACTGTTTTCAGGTGTGAAAGCACCAGCTGTCAGCAGGCATGAGACTGGGACCCTGCAGGTGAGGGGGGCCCACTGCCCAGGTTGCCCAGGGCTGCGGGACTTTTGGTGCTAGGCCTGGGGCGAGTCACTTGAGAGAAGAGAGATGGGCCCTGAGCAGTCATCAAGCATGCTCTCCACTGATGTGCTTTTCTGTCAGTACCAATAAAAATAAACAACAGACATACATCTCTCTCCTGGGAAGTCGGAATCTTAATGCCCAGTGGGACAGGACCACCCCGCAAAGGAGGTGATGTTTATGCTTCTAAACTGGAATTTTGTGTGTGGTCCTGAGGGCGGCCTCCCTCTGCCACTGACCACGGCTGGGCATCCTGCAGGTCCCCAACTGGGTCTCGGGCAGGCTGGGATCCTTCGGGTTCAGCTTTAGGTCTTTGCTAACACACCACCTTTCAGCGAGTCTTCCAGAACCATCCTGCACCAAAATAAAATGACCCTTATCTCCCAGCACTCTGAGCCCCTTTCTTGCTCTATTTTTCTCCACAGCACCTATCACCTTCCTACAGGAAACATATTTTACTTATTTTATTCTCTCTCCAGCCCTGATCAGAAGGCAAACTCCAGGAGGGCAGGGATTCTATTTTGGTCAATGCTATATCCTCAGTGCCTGAAACAGTGCTTGGAACAGAGTGGGCTTCATCCACCATTGGGGATGATCAGATGGACCGATGAAGGATAAAATCCCCTGTGGCACCTGGCACCGCCTCTGGCACCCACAGCTGACCCTAGACTCCAGGGGACGCCGGGCACACTGCTGCCCACTGCTGCAGAACTGTCATCACAACAGACACCTCCGCCAGGCACACCCGCAGGCACCTGAGTGGGTCTACTAGCGCACTGGGGCTGCCACAACAAATACCACAGACTGGGCAGCGTCAGCAACAGACGTTTATTTCCTTGAAGTTCTGGAGGCTGGAAATCCAAGATCAAGGTGCCAGCAGGGCTGGTATCTCCTGAGGCCTCTTGGCTGGTAGACGGGTGTCTTCTCGCTGTGTCCTCACAGGGTCGTTCCTCTGTGCACACATATCCCTGGGGTCTCTCCTTGTGTCCTAATTTCCTCTCCTTATAAGGACACCCGTCAGACTGGATTGAGGCCCATCCTAATGGCCTCATTTTGCCTAAATTATCTCTGTAAAGACCCCATCTCCAAATACAGTCACATTCTGAGATACTGAGGGTTAGAACTTCAAGATATGAATTTGGGGGTGGGGGCAAAATTCAGCCCATGACAGCGGGTGTAGAGGCAACTCTAGGAAGTCTGAGCCGAGGAACACAGACACAAAAGGTCCAGAGCAGTCACAACTCTAAGCACCGTTTCTCCCCGGCACTAGAATTTGTTCTATGACACTTCGGGGACGCTGTTCCTGATTGCCTTTGCTTAAGCTCACAGAAGTCCGTGCTCACGTTCCTTCATGGTACACAGCCTTGGCGGCAGAAGGAGCTGGAAGGAGTTGGACAGGGGCAGGGGGGAAGGGAGCAGCCCTTGAGCAGCCTCGGAGCCGAGGTTTGCTTCAGAGGAGGCTGTGGGGAGCTCCCTCCCCACCACTGCGAGGGGGCATTTTCAAGCACCATGTGCCTCCTCCAATTCCCTGGAGTGAGTCACCGTGACAAGATGGGAGAAGCACCCCTGGAGACCAGGGCTCGGCAAAAGGCCGGACAGTAATGGTGCAACTGCTGTGGCAAACAGTCTGGCGATTCTTTAGTAAGTTAAACATGGTCACTAGGTGACTGAGCAATTCCACTCCTAGGTATCCACCCACAGAACCAAAGACAGGTGTTCAAACAAATCCTTGTACATGCATGTTCATAGCAGCAGTGTTCACAATTGCCAGGAGGTGGAAAAAACCTACGTGTCTGTCCACCAACTGATGAACGGATGACCAAAATGCAGTCCATACCTGCAGTGGAATATTACACAGCCTTAAAAAGGAAGGATGCTCTGGTATAACATGGATGAACCTCGAAAACATGCTGAGAGAAGGAAGCCCAGACACAAAAGGACATATAGTATATGATTCCATTTATATTAAGTATCCTGAACAGGAAACTCTGCAGAGACAGAAAGTGGATTAGTGGTTGCCAGGGGCTGGCTGGGTGGGGGCAGGATTGGGAAGTGCCGTTTCTCTTTGGGGTCACAGAAGTGTTCTGGGATTAGCAGTGGTGGTTGCATGGTATTGTGAATACACTAAAAGCCACTGAATTGGACACTTTAAAATGCTCATAATGATGAATTTTATGTTACGTAAATATCACAATTTAAAAAAAATTTTTAAGTAATCTGAAAGACGTAAAAATGACCAGCCATACAAAAATAAGCTGGCTTTGTTCCCTGGGCCACAGTTTGCCAACGCTTGGTCTAAACTTTCTAGAACAATCCAGGCTTTTGTCTTCTCTGCCTGCTGTGGGTGGCCTCAACCAGGCACAGTTAGAAACGCCTCCTAGACACTGATAAGCGCCCTACATGGCCGACTTGTCCATCTGAGTGTCCATATACAGCCCCACCTAGATATCTAAGACATGCCTCAGATGGACTTTCCAAACACAGAACAGGCCCCCTGGCCCACCCCCACCGGTCATCCCAGCGGGTGCTGCCTTCACCCAGAGACTCAGGCATCCCGGAATCACCCCTGGTGATCTCACTGATTTTTCTCGCTTTCACTGACACCCACCCCTGGCCCACATCACCGTCCACTCCAGCTGGTTCCCACGCCCCTCCCTAGCCTCCCAGATCCGCTCTTGCCCCCTCAGTCCACTTCTGGCACAGCAGCCAGAGAAGCCTTTCCAGAACTTTCCCCTGGCTTCCCACGCGCCTGGCTCTCTCTCCTACACTCTCTGCTTCGGGCTCTGACCGCACCAGCTTCCTGGCTGTCTCTCAGGCACACCCACTTGTTCCCACCTCAGGCCTCTATGTCCCCACCAGGAAGACTCCCTGGGGGGCCACAGGCATGGCTCCTGCTCCCCTCACTCAGCCTCTGCCCACGGCACCTCCCCAGGCCTGGCCCCTGCTGTCTGTCACCTGCAGCACTGAACTCCCTCCTGTATTTCACATCTGTCCATATGTGTCTCACGTGAGTCCCCACCTCAACCATGCAAGCACCCTGAGAGCCAGGACTCTGAACAAACCTCAGCGCCTGTCACAGAGGAGGTGGCCTACACCTGCTCCATGGGTGACTAAGACAAACACGAGAGGCAACCTCCCAGGAACTGACTGAACTTCCAATGACCCTTCCCAGAGGGAAGACGGCCGGCTTCCCTTTGAACGTAAAGGGGTCACTAAATTACAAGCTGCACCTCAAGGTTTATCTCTTTACTTATCATCCAAGCAGCCGTCGTCCCAGCCAAGCTCAAGAAGGCCGGCCCCAAGAGGCAGGGTCCATCCTGAACAAGACCCAGAAGCCAAGATTCATCACTTTCCCACCGACATCCAGTGTCCCGTCCCTCTGACATCCCGGAACGGGGACAGTCGTGAACAAGACAGACATAGCCCTCCTGTCTAATCTGGAGGACTCAGTCTGCCAGGGAAGACAAACCAACAAGAAACAGTGGATTTTTTATTTCTTAGCTTTGCTATGTTATTTTGAAGTATATAAAACGGGGTGCTGGGGAAATGACTTGGGGATGGGAGTGGAGGGCTCTCTGAGGAGGTGACATTACAACTAAGGCCAATCAGATCCAAAAAGATGTTGATCCAGGAGACTGTGGCTGCAGCAAGGGGACGTTCTTCCTGCCACGGTCCCCGGCCCCTCTCTGGCCACACTTCCCACATCATGGCACATGTCTATCTCCCCTTTAGATTAGTGTTCTCAACTGGGGCGATTCTGCCCCCCAGGGGACATGTGGCAATGTCTAGAGACATTTCAGGTTGTCATCCTGGGGGAGGGGGCGCTACTGGTATCAGGTGGGTGGAGGCCAGGGATGCTGCTCAACACCCTACTGAGCACAAAATGGCCCCCACAAGGAAGAATGATCTGGCCCCAGTGGCAACGGTGCCAAGGCTGAGAAACCCTGCTCAAAAGGCTCCCCACAGGCTAAGACTTATTTATCTTCCTCAGCATCTAAGAACTATCCCCTCCTTGTCTATAGTTGACAGGATACATGACGAGATGAAAAATGGAAACACACACACATGGAGCTATACTTCAAAATAGTGAAGCTAGAAAAACCAATTTAAAAAAAAATCATCAGGGCACTGGCGAGTAGGGAGCCCTATAAAGTTCTCAGGCTACTGTGGATTCGAAAGGACTCTAGGAAGGTGAGAGGACATTGCATTTGCGCCTGGCGTGAAGCAGGGCTGGAAACGTGGCAGGTCCGTGGATGTGACTGAAACCACGTGGGCGGCACGTGTCCTGAGGGAACGAAGGGCATGTACCTCTCCCCCTGAGGAAGGGGTCCTACATATGGCTGTTTCCAGGCTGCAGTGAGACCATAAAGCCCTGGTAGGCAGCTATCAAGGGAAAGTTCTCATCAAGCCCGTCTTCAGGTTAACAGACCTGCGGTCACAAAATCCCCTAGGGGCGCACAAGACTGGTCCGGTCTCCTTATCTCTCCAATAGTCCTCGAAGCTGTGTGTGGAGCAGCAGGGGCCTTTTGGCTACTTAAGGGAAGGTGAGGCTCATGTGGAGATCCAGCCCCAAGAGCAGTTACTCCAACAGGGCTTGAGAAGGCGAATTCCACACGTGGAGTGCAATCTAGGTCTTGGATTCCAGCTCTTTCTTAATGAGTGATGGTAATGACACCCAGTGTTTACGCAGCGCTTCAGATTCAGCAAAGTGCTCCTGCACACGCTCCTGCAAACGAGCTTGCTTTTCTCCCCTAGCCGTGACTGTTCTGAAGATTAATCTCCGCTAAGGCTTTTATCATCTGGAGGAAGGAGCGCTACCTCTGGCTCCTGGGGCTCCATTTGCAAACATGAAATGGAAGCTTTTGGAATTCAGTAGCCGAAGGCTTCCAAGTTCCTTTTTAAAACTGAGGTGCACTCCTCGGCTTTAATGAGACAATGTTCTGATGGTGGAGGTTGCCTTGTATAGAGAAAAGGCAGAATTTATGTGCCAGCCCCCTTCGGAGAGGGACCAGCCACTGCCACATTGCCTCTCACTGCTCTCTTTTCAAATCCTGACTCCCTAATTGATAGGAAACTACAATCTCCTTTATCATCAGAGGAGAAACCTACAAAATGCATCCAGAGTAGATTTTTGCCTTCCCTGCAAAAACCCCTGGGGCAAGATGGAGGAGGTTGAAAGAGCTCAATCACTTACACCAGCACTTCTCAATGCTGTGATTTTTGCTCCCAGGAGACACTTGGCTATGTCTAGAGACATTTTTGGCTGTCTTGACTGGGTGAGGGCCTAGTGGGTGGAGGCTAGGGATGAGGCTGAACACCCCACAATGCCCTGGACAGCACCCCCGCAGCAAAGGGTTATGCCCTAAATGGCAACAGGGCCGAGGAGAGAAAAAGACAACCGTTACCTTACAAAAGTAAAGCTCAAACAGGCTTTCTTTTTCTCAGGGGATCTGCTGAGCAAACACAAGAAGGGACTGCATAGATAGAACAGGCAGCAACCTGTCACTCGAGAAAGAAGGGACCAAAGCCATAAGCCTGAGCTCAGTCAGTGATCCTGCTGGCAGGTGAATGAAGCACAGCAACAATAATCGTGTCTAGTCACACATGCATCTCCACCGCTTTATTTTGTGGGTGGCACCGAGGGTAATCAGAGGGACCACAGGCCCAACTACAAGCGTGGCCTGCCTAGTGCGCTCAGGGGGAGAGCCTCAAACCAACACCTCCGTGACTGTGGACGCAATTATTTTGACTGGACGTACAACTGTGTCAGGAGAATGCCTCCCTGACACACACAGACACATCCGCTCTTGATTTAAATCCGCCAAACGGATCAATTTGGGACGCAGAGGTTGCCTATGTAGGTGTTTCAATCTATTCTGATTTCTGCTAGAAGCATTTTAAGAAAAAGATCGGCTCTTCACCAGCTTTCCAGCTGTGAAATACACAAGCCACGCTGTCCGGCCTGCGTTATCTGAGTACCACGGTGGGCTGTGCTAAGGCCAGATCACTCAAACCACTGCAGCGGCATACCTGGCTCGACAGAGGCGACTGTATGTTTAACTTGCCGTTCTTGGGAATGTCTATTCTGTACCCGAGAGGAAGGAAAGCGTTGAATCCAACAATCAGGTCAGGGTGTTCGTGGAAGAGCTGTGACACTCGTCGGATGACTCCAGGAGTATCGATGCTGGAACGAAGAATGAGAGTGGGCAGAACAGTCTCGGGAAGCAAACTGGAAGCAGAATCGACTCCTCCCTTACCCGTGCCATGGCACGAGCTCCTCAACAGACAATGAAGCACCCTCAAATGTGACTGGCGTGATTCTGCCCACAGCGATCCACTGCCAAGGCAACCGGGCCTGGGCTCCCTGTGCCTTCCTGGCAAAACCCACAGAATATGTACACAGCACGGCTCCCGAAACACTGCAAGCTCATGTGCTAGGTTCTGAAAATGTCAGGACAGCCAGCTGCAAGTCCTGGGCTCCATACAGTGACAGAAGGTTAAAGCCCTCTAAATGGGAGACAGATTCATTTCATATGAATTAGGAGACTATGACACAGGAGTTGTTCCCAGCAAGTGACTATAATGTATAAATGTCAAAGGCCCTGCAAGTATGAAAGCTGCTAAGAATCTGAGGGGAGAGACAGGGTCTCCCTTAGGGCTTCAGTCAGGGCCAAGGTCTTAGCATCATGCTTGTGGAAGGAAACCAGGCGGGCCCTGCCGTATTTCCTCAGAGGGGGAAGCAGCACAGTGGGGATGTGACACTTTAGAATCTAAGTCAGGGGGACCGAGCTCTGGTCCTGTCCCTGCTCCTAAGGTGGATCTGGGCAAACCGCTGGCCCACTCTAAGCCTCAGTGAGCCCCTGTCAAACAAGCTCACTGTCTATCGGGAGGTCCCCGGTCTATCTCTAACCCTCCTGATTCTGTGCCTATGAATACAGCTAATGTGTTTTAAAGGCCTTCTAAGTGCCAGGTTCCTTACTAAGCATTTTATGCGCATTATTTCCAAGCAGGCCTGGCACTGGGGTGAGGCAAGTGAGGCACTCACCTTGGGGATAAGATTTAAGAGAGTGCGAAAATATTCGACAATCAAGATAAATAACATTTTCATGCAGTGCTTGAAAAAAAAAATCTAAAATAATTTTTAAAAATCCCCAACGAACAAAATTCTTTTAAAAAATCAACATTTTGAGCAAAGACAGGATCCGACTCTGTGATTGCTCGACTGCCTCACTTGCCGCACCCCATCACTGCCCTCGTTCCAGGAATCCCCGCAACAGCTCCACAAGGGGGTACGTTTCCGTCTCGTTTTTTGGAAGAAGGAACTGAGGCTCCCAGAAGTTCGACAACCTGCATAAGGGGTCACCCTGTTGAGGGGCAGCCGGAGTTGGGGGCTCCCATCCCGCTCAGGGAGACTGAGGCCCAGAGTGGCCCTCCGGGACGGGTAGGGGCCCCGCTGGTACCTCTGGCTTTTGAACTCCTTCATGATCTCCAGGAAGCCATTGTAAGTGGCAGGGTCGCTGCCGAAGCGGATCTTCACCTGGTCCAGGTAGGTGAGGGCGTCCTCCACCTGAGGGGAGGGAGAGGGTCCAGCTGGGCCGCGGTCCGCGGAGGAGGGGACGGGAGCGGGGATCCCTGGCGGGAGGGGGACGGGCCGGGCATCCGAGGGGCGGAGGTGGGGAGTCGGGGGTCCGGGGCCGCGCGGAGGGGAGGCCGAGGGCCGGGCGGGGCCCGGTGGGGGGCGCCGGCCTGCGGGGGCTGGACGACAGGGGTCTCCCAGCGAGGGCTGGCCCACCACTCACGTGCACCGGCAGCTTCTCGTGGCCCGCAGAGCCCGAGCGACCCCAGCGGGCGCCACTCAGCCCCCGGCCCGCGGGGCCGCCGCCGCCGCCGCCGCCGCCGCCGCCAGCGTGCGCCATGTTGGAAGTCGGAGCCGCGGCCCGCCCCGCCCCCGCCCGAGGCCCGGCCGCGCATGCGCTGGCCCCGCCCTTGAGGGGCGCGGCCTGATGACGCCAGGGAAGGCGGGGCTTCTTGAAGGTTCCCTGTAGGAGCTTACCCTTAAAACTGAAATGCTACTAAAACGCTTTACATACCACGTGTGGGCAAACCAAGACCTGGTGCCTGCTTTTGTCCGGCCCCACAAGCAAGCTCAGAATGGTTTTTACAATTTTAAAAGTTGGAAAAAATCGGAGAAGGCTATTCCGTGACACGTGAAAATTCTATGAAATGCAAATTTCGGTGTCTGTAAAATAAAGTTTTGTTGGAACACAGGCACGCCCACTCGTTTACCGGTCATTTCCTGCTATCTTTGCGCTACAACAGCAGGGTGAATAGCTGCGACAGATGCTAAGATCTACACGCCTGATATATTTACTAAAAAAGTGTTCTGGACCCCTGCTTTATAGGGTTGATGTAACAACGGGATATGGGCACACAGCACCCTAATACAGGGCCCTGGGGTGAACTTTTGCTAAATTGCCCTTGACTCAGTCCTGATCCTGTTATCTTCACTTCTCTAGTCCTGATCCCATCACTTCCCCACTGGACCAGTTCGGGAGTCTCTTAACCAGTTTTTCCAGTCCCAGTGCTATCAAGAACTGCGATCATTCCACAGCTGCTTCCAAATCTCCAAGACCTTCCTATTTCTTGTGAATGAAATCTAAGCACCTACATGCAGCATTGAAGGTAATAAAAACCTGGCCCTTAGGAACCTGTTCCTGCAGAATTTTCCACCCAAGCAAGCTGCCCTCTCTCTGTGCAGAACCACCTGTCAATGTCTGCCTAGCTTGGCTGCTTCCTGGTCCCGTACATCAGCACATATTATTTCCCTTGCCGAAAGCCCTGTTCTATCTCTTCATTACACAGAAAGCACCCTACACATCCTACAAATTACAACCCAAATGTCCTCTCTTTCAAGAAGCTACCCGACCTCTCCTCTGCCATCCACAGTCTCTTGCACATCATCTTTATTTGGTATCTCTTTTTATAGGTGAAGAGGTGCAGGAAAGCTGAGTTGGCTGCCCATTGGCAATGAGTGCACCATTTGCCAGGGGTCAGTAGTAGTATGGTGAACAAAACTGACAAGGCTTTTACCCTCACAGAGTCATCAGTCTTTCAAGAAGGATAGGAGGGCTTCCCTGGTGGCGCAGCGGTTGAGAGTCTGCCTGCCGATGCAGGGGACACGGGTTCATGCCCCAGTCCGGGAAGATCCCACTTGCCGCGGAGCGGCTGGGCCCTTGAGCCATGGCCGCTGAGCCTGCGCGTCCGGAGCCTGTGCTCCGCAACGGGAGAGGCCACAACAGTGAGAGGCCCGCGTACCACAAAAAGAAAAAAAAAAAAAAAAAAAAGTCCCTCCCAAATTCAAGAGAAGGGCCGACAGACTCCAGAATGTGCTGAGTGACCAGGTCCTGGAATAGCATGGGGGATAGGAAATATTGCCATGACCATTTTTGGAAAATACGTTCTGCCACCAGAGGGACTTAACCCAGACTAGCAGGGGATGAGAACAGCTTCCCAGAGGAAGCTTTCCATTCTAGCTGAGTTCTGAAGGGTATGTAGGTGTTCACCATGAAAGTCAGGGGGAATGGCTGTGCAGAGGCCCTGTGGTGGGGAAGAGTGTGGCACATTTGAAGAACTTAAAAAAAAAGGAAAAAAAAAAAAAAAGACCAGTGTTGTTGGACTGCAGATGAATGGGAGGAAGAAGGAGAGAAAGAGAGAGAGAGAGCAGAATAAGAATGGAAAGGACGGAGGGGGCAGGCTACTCATTCTTATGAGATGAGGTAAGGCTTTTGGTCTTGGTATTTAGTGCTGGTAGAAGCTGCGCATGGGTTCGGCACAAGGAACCGTTTGAGCAGCTTTGAAGTTGGAAGCAAGTACTCTGACTATTCTGCAGGGAAGTGATTGGAGGGGAGCCAGGGAGGGTGCAGGGAGGCTGTTTCATCATTTAGGCAGGCAAAGGATCATGGTTTAGATCAGGATGGGAGCAGAGGAGGTGGAGAGAAGGGGGTGGAAGGGAGGGATATTTAGAAGGTAAAGCAGAGAGGAAGTGGCGCTGGGTGGATGTGGGGGTGGGGGGGAAGGAAGCATTGAGGATTCATAGCTCCCAGCCCACAAAGGGATTCTGCTCAGTTTCACTGCATTCCTGTCTGAACAGCAGCTAAGGCGGCCTAAACCGCATTTGGAAGCCACCAGAGTCTGGACAGCCCTTTCCACACCAATACCCCCTGGCAACGGTCCCTGAGACCGTTCCTGATCGATCCTGAGAATCAACGACACATGTTGGCTTCTGATACGCCCTAGGGTCCTCACACAAGGCCCCCCTTCCACGAGGATCACTGAGTTTTCCATTCTTTTACTAGGTCTCACAGGGTCAAAGGAAGCCCTCACTAATTTGGAGAATGGACAGCCACAAGCCAATTCCACCTTGGGCGTGTGTGAGTTCTGAAGGATGCATGAATATGTGTGTGTTTGTGTGTATGAGTGAGTGTGTTCAACATGTGGGCAATAGTACACATACATCTTTTCATTCTCATTTTTATAAAGCATAAAAAGTTGCTAAGCTAATTTTTTTCTTTACTATTCTCATCTACACAGATTAAATTGAAAACCTTACAGATAAACAACAGGACCTATTGTATAGCACAGGAAACTATAGTCAATATCTTGTAATAACCTATAATGGAAAAGAATCTGAAAAAGAATATATATATATATATATATGAATCACTTTGATGTACACCTGAAATTAACACAACATTGTAAATCAACTATACATCAATTTAAAAAGTTAAAATGGTTTGTATAAAAATAAAATATAATTTAAAATATTTTTAAATAAAAATTAGAAAAAGATTGAAAACCTTAGTGTTGACAGTTTAGCTAGAGAGTTTAGATAAATTTGGAACACAAATGTCCTTACCATTTGTCTAATTTAATGGCATTAAGGTAAGATTCTTAGGTGGGTCTTTTGTTGGACAGTATTTTGGCAAAGTTAAGAAGATCAAAAAATCTTATTTTGAACTAACCTAAGTCTTCCCAGGTAACAAACATTAGGATCAAAACCTCTCAAGTCCAGAATCATGTGCTGTAGCAGAATTCGAAGGCTGCTGGAGATTCTCATGCCCTGGTGTGAGTGCCCTGCCCCGTCTCCCATCCTGGAGTGTGGGAGGGCCTGGGAACGTAATGGATGTCACGCTTACATTTAGGTTATGCTACACAGCAAAGGTGAAGGGAATTTGCAGGTGTATTTAAGGTCCCAAATGAGTTGATTTTTAATTCATCAGAAGACAGATTATGCTAGGTGGGCCTGACATAACCAGGGGCACCCTTTAAAAGAGTCTGGAATTCAGAGCCTTGAAGCAGCAGAGAGGTGTGATCCTGTTGGTCTTGAAGGAGGCACCAGCCATGTCATGATCTGCCTTTGGAAAGAGGCAGCTTCTGGGAGCTGAGAGCCACAGTCCTACAGTTGCAAGGAACTCAGTTATGAAGGAGCATGGACCAGGGCTCTGAGCCTGACTGTGAGATCCTAGCCCCTCTGACACCTTGTGAACCCTGAACAGAGAGCCCAGCCACACTGTTCCCAGACTCCTGATCCACAGACACTGTGAGAATAAATGGCTGCTCTTTTCAGCTGCTAACTTTGAGGTGATTTGTTATGCAGCAATAGCTAACTAATACTCCTATGAAGTAGTCATGTCAAACCGATGAAGTAGTCTTGTCAAAACTGTTTACCGGGCTTCCCTGGTGGTGCAGTGGTCGAGAGTCCGCCTGCCGATGCAGGGGACACGAGTTCATGCCCTGGTACGGGAAGATCCCACATGCCGCGGAGCGGCTGGGCCCGTGAGCCATGGCCGCTGGGCCTGCGCATCCGGAGCCTGTGCTCCACAACGGGAGAGGCCGCAACAGTGAGAGGCCCGTGTACGGCAAAAAAAAAAAAAAAAAATGTTTACCTTGTGATGATGAGGTGTCAATGTATGTTCTTCAAGTGTAACAAATGTATTGCTCTGGTAAGGGCTGTTGATAATGGGGGAAATTACACATGTGTAGGGGCAGGGGGTATATGAGAAATCTCTGTACCTTCCACTCAATTTTGCTGTGAACCTAAAACTGCTCCCCAAAATAGTCTCTTAAAAAACATGTTTACCCTAAATCTAATCAAGCTTTTTAAGACCAGGATTGGTAGATTGTAAATATTTTGTATTTTAAAGAAAGAAATAAATAAAGGAATAAAGACACAGACGTAGAGAATGGACTTGAGGACACCGGGAGGGGGAAGGGTAAGCAGGGACGAAACGACAGAGTGGCGTGGACATATATACACTACCAAATGTAAAATAGATAGCTAGTGGGAAGCAGCCACATAGCACAGGGAGATCAGCTCGGTGCTTTATGACCACCTAGAGGGGTGGGATAGGGAGGGTGGGAGGGAGACGCGAGAGGGAGAAGATATGGGGATATATGTATATGTATAGCTGATTCACTGTGTTATAAAGCAGAAATTAACACATCATTGTAAAGCAATTATACTCCAGTAAAGATGTTAAAAAAATAAAAATTAAAAAAATAAATAAAAATAAAACTTTTAATATACACACACACACAAAAAATATATAATAAAAATAATATTATAAATGCTATATATAATACAAATATGTATGCTTATTATACAATATTTATATATTATATATACAATATTAATGTGTATAATATAGATAAATATAAAGGGCCAGATTATAAATATTTTTGGCTTTGAGGCCATACATTCTCTGTCACTGTAGCATGAAAGCAGCTGTAGGCAATATGCGAATGAACAGGCATGGCTGTGTTCCAATAAAACTTTATTTACAAAAATAGGCATGCAGGGACTTCCCTGGTGGTCCAGTGGTTAAGTCTCCATGCTTCCAATGCAGGGGGCCCAGGTTTGATCCCTGGTCGGGGAACTAGATCCCACTTGCATGCCGCAGCTAAGAGTCAGCATGCGGCAACTAAGAAGCCCACATGCTGCAACTAAAAAAAAGATCCTGCGTGCCACAACTAAGACCTAGCACAGCCTAAATAAATAAATAAATATTTTTTAAAAAACACATAAAACAGGCATGCAGGCTGTGGTTTGCTGACTCCTGCTCTAGAATATAAGAGGCTAAATAGATAAAACAACCAAATGCAATGTAATGTGTGAAGAAATCTTGATTGGGTCCTAGTTTGAAAGAAACAGCTAATTAGGAATGTTTTCAGGCTAATTAAGAAAAGTAGGAATGCCTATTAAAAGATATTAAATAATGATTGTTAGTTTTGGTAGGTGAATGCAGCTATGTAGGAGAATGACCTTATTCCTTAAAGATGCCTCCTGGCGTATTTAGGGACTGAAGTGACTTGATATCACCAGGGCCGGAATTAGGATGAGGAGATTGAGGAAAGTTTGTGCCAAGTACAGGATCAGATCCTATTTTTATTTAAAATGTTGGTGCTTTGTTCATCATGCATTTTTATTCATTTTGATTAAAAAGTTATGGTAATACAATGTTTATTTTGGTTGAATTTCTTTGGTGCCTCTTAAACTTTGTGTCTGAGTGCCCCACTCTCCTCACCCTAGTCCCAGCTGTCACCTTGAACTGGTTTAGCAGGAGATTGGCAGCGATAGGGCAATAGAGGAATCTCGAGAGTAACTAACTGAGTGTTCATTGTTCTCAATATTGCAACTTTGCTGTGGGTTTGAGCATTTTCTTTTTTTTAAAATAAATTTATTTATTTATGTTTGACTGTGTTGGGTCTTCATTGCTGTGTGCGGGCTTTCTCTAGTTGGCGGCAAGTGGGGGCTACTCTTCAGTCCACTGAGCAGGCCTCTCATCGTGGTGGCTTGTCTCTGTTGCAGAGCACAGGCTCTAGGTGTGCGGACTTCAGTAGTTGCCGCACGTGGGCTCAGTAATTGTGGCTCAGGGGCTCTAGAGTGCAGGCTCAGTAGTTGTGGCGCACAGGTTTAGCTGCTCTGCAGCCTGTGGGATCTTCCCGGACCAGGGCTCAAACTCGTGTCCCTGCATTGGCAGGCGGATTCTTAACCACTGTCCCACCAGGGAAGTCCCGAGCGTTTTCAAGTTAAGTAAATAAATTTAAAAATCTCTACACTTTTAAAGTTAAAATTTTTTAATTAACTGAAAACCCCCCAGACTCATAGGTACAGAAAACAGATTGGTGGTTGCCAGAGGTAGGGGGTGGGTGTGGGTGAAATGGGTGAAGTTGGGCAAAAGGTACATCTCCGGGGAGAGGAATTGGGGAATTAAGAGCTGTTTGGGTGACCAGATGTCTTGATTTCCCAGTGACTGAAGGGTTATCAGGACATGGGCCTTTCACTTTTAACTGGGATAGTCCCCTATAAACAGGGTCACCATGATCACCCTACTTCTCATTTTTACCTTATGTCCTTCTTATTCCTCTGATCTATTTGATTTGCTTACCATGAATATGTATTATTATTATTTACATAACTACCTAATAAAAAAACTGATTTCTCATCAAAAAAAAATTTATGATAAATAGTCCTGGAGACGTAATGTACAATATGGTGACTATAGTTAATAATACTGTATTGTATATTTGAAAGTTGCAGGAGAATACGTCTTAAAAGTTCTTATCAAAAAAAGAATGAAATAATGCCATTTGCAGCAACATGGTTGGACATAGAGATTATCAAACAAAGTGAAGTAAGCCAGACAGAGAAAGACAAATATTATATGATATTGCTGATATGTGGAATCTAAAAAAACGATACAAATGAACTTATATACAAAACCAGAAATAGACCCACAGACATATAAAACAAACTTATGGGGGCTTCCCTGGTGGCGCAGTGGTTAAGAATCTGCCTGCCAATGCAGGGGACATGGGTTCGAGCCCTGGTCTGGGAAAGATCCCACATGCCGTGGAGCAACTCAGCCCATGTGCTACAACTACTGAGCCTGCTCTCTGGAGCCTGCAAGCCACAGCTACTGAGCCCACACACCACAACTACTGAAGCTGCATGCCTAGAGCCTGTGTTCCGCAACAAGGGAGGCCACTGCAATGAGAAGCCCACGCACCACAACGAAGAGTAGCCCCTACTCGCTGCAACTAGAGAAAGCCTGTGCATAACAATGAAGACATAATGCTGCCAAAAAATAAAAATTAATTAGTTAATTGAAAAAATAAGTAAATAAAACAAACTTACGGTTACCAAAGGGGAAAGGAGGGGGAGGGATAAATTGGGAGTTTGGGACTAACATGTACACACTACTATGTATAAAATAGATAACCAACAAGGACCTACTGTATAGCACAGGGAACTATACTCAATATTTTGTAATATTCTATAAGGGAAAATAATCTGAAAAAGTGTGTGTGTGTGTGTGTGTGTGTATGTGTGTGTGTGTGTGTATACATACATATGAATCACTTTGCAGTACACCTGAAATTAACATAGGTAATGTATAAGTATAGTTGCAAATCAACTACACTTCAATTAAAAGCAAAGTTCTTATCACAAGAAAAAAATTGTAACTATGTGTAGTGATGGACATTAACTAGACTTACTGTGATCATTTCACAATATATACAAATATCAAATCATGTTGTACACCTGAGACTAATATAATGTTATATGTTACTTATACCTCACTTTTAAAAGGATTCTCTAGAATTTAATATAAATTAATTCCTGCTGCAACTAGAGGGGCTGTATATTCCAATTGCCTTGGGACAGTCCAGTTTATTGTAGTTGTCCTAGAGTACTTGTTAAGAGCATTCCTTTTCACTCTCTAGAGGTGTCCCAGTTTGGATAATGTGTTAATATAGTCCTGTTCACACAATAACCACGCTCTCACTCTGGCTCCACCATGGCTGGGGGACTTCAAACAAGTGCTTGTCAAACATTCATAGCAACCAAACGCCTTCTCAAATGAAAACTCACTACAAAAACCCCAATGTAAGCAACAATTCGGAGTAGCATTTTATTCGTAAAAATTTCTTTCCTATGTTCAAATTAGTGTTTACGTACAAAGCAGTTGATTCTCACTGAGGCTGTTGAGATGGACACACACATTTTAAGCCAGAAGTTGTAGCTGAAATCTTAGTCACATCCACTTTATTTCCACATTGGGTAAACCCCAGATTCACAGAAGACGTGGTGGCAAAGAGTAGCTATTTTTTCAAGGGCTCCTTTCACAATCTAAGTTAAATGGATATGGCAGGAGAATCCTATGTTAGTTATGTCCAACACCTTAAAAAACTGCTACCCAACGTGTATTTTAAAATTACAGTTATAAAATATTTTTTAATGGAATTTGATGCTAAATAATGTTCGCAGAGCTGTCAAAGCCCTCATTGGAACACTCGTTTGAGAAACAACTGAATGAGAGTCAGGTCACATGCAGCTCAAAAGCTTCTGTTTCTAAGGTTGTTTTTTCTGAAACTCTTATCTGGAATCCAATGGTGGGGGGAAGGAAGGAATAGCACCTTGAAAGTTTGGACTCTACTATCCATATAGCAAAAGGCCCAGAAGCAAGTGGGGCTTTTAGAAGGCTGCAGGCAAAGAAGAAAGAGCCATTTAAGTGGAGCGCAAACAGTTGGACTGTTGAACTTGCACAAGGCAGAAGTGGTCCAAAAGCACAGCAGGGAGATGTCGGTAACTTTTTCCATCTGCTTCCAAGAGCCTCCAGTTTTTAAGATTAAAAGTATCATTATTCTCAAAGTGCGGGAGCCAGGGAGTAGAGATGGAAGAATGATAACAGGTTTACTGTTTTAATGCCAAGTTGGGTCATGAGTCAGCTCAGGAACTAGAGACATGGGCCAAATGTGCCTATAAGTGTAAATTTGAACCAATTGTCAACTTCAAAAAATGAGAACGTTTCTCACAAAAGTTTGGATTTCTGGCTTTACTTATGACAACAGGAAGCTCTGGCACCAGTAGGCTGCTTTCCCCATGGTGATTCTGGGGTAGAGTCAAGGTACTTGTGTCTACCCAAGACACAGCAGTGCCCTCCATATTCCCATTGTCACTATCACGCTCTGCTGGTAACCCAGGTGCACAGCAATTGTCTAGATTACTCGTTGGCCCCTGTGGGCATTTGAATGTGCCACCCATGGAATTGATATTTGTGCTTCTGAGTCTAAAATTAAAGTGAGGTGGTCCCAATAATAATTGGGACAGGAAGGCTCTGGGCTTTCATTTCTCAGAGTTCTTGCACCTCGGGCTCATGATTTTGAGCAAATCACAGCTACCTCTGCTAGGTTGTTTTTTCATCTCTGAAATGCATGCAGAAACTCCTGCCCTCCCTAACGTATGGGCTGTGATAAGGATCAGACTATAGCACCTGGTGCTTTATAATCTATAAAGCTCTGTGGTCCACATTTGTGTTTTAGTTGGTCTCACATCCATCCATCCCCCCTTGACCTGCTACAAGCCCCTAGTTTCCCTGGGGAATAGCCTCTCCCCTTCTCAGTCTACATGGTTAGGTGGTGTTGACTCCATCCTCAGCCTGGATGGGCATGGGGTCAGGCCCACCAATCAGAGTGTTGCATTCTTCCCAGAGATAGCTTTGTGTTCCGGGATGGGTGTATGAGCTAATTGGGGCTAATAGACTTAGAACCAGGACTTTGGTTCAAACTGTTGGAAAAGGGAAACTCTCTTTTCTACTGAACTTTGCTGTCATGTTGCTAACTTGGGGGTGTTGGGTCTGTAAATGGAGCTGACAAGGAGGAGAAAAAAACCGAAAGATGGTAGGAAGCAAGGTCTGGGTCACATAATCGGAGGCTTTGGGTCCAGATATACATCAACACATACAGTCTTTTTGCTTCAGGTTGAATGGGGCTAACTCACTGGAGACACAGGGGGGTTTACACTAGCAGGCAGACTTGTGAGCATTTGTTTGATTTAGATTCATTTCCCTGGGCACTCCCTGATCTTGAGTCCTGCTCCTGCAGCAGCAACCAGCTCTTCTCTCTGCCTGGATTTGACCATCTACACTGCTTTTTTGAAGTTCTTGAGAGAGTCCTGTTGTGAGATTCTTGATGAAGGGCACTGGAAACGTTCATAGATGAGATAGCCATGTGTGGTGGGGGCAATGAAGCCATTGGAGGTTGGGATGATTCTGTTCACCACGGCATGGACAAACTGGGTGGCCAGCAGTGTGCCTGTTGGGGGAAGTGGAGGGGAGGGTACAACTGATAAAAATGTGGCCACAGAGATCCAATCTCACACATTGAGAGTTGGCTGCATGGGGTCAAATCTCTGCTACGGCCCTTACTAGCTTAGGCATGAAAGCCAGCCTCTCAGAGTCCCTCTTGCTTCATCGGCAATATGCGAACAATAACTGAGCCTACCTGCTGAGGGGAATTCTGAAGATTTGAAGATGTCATGCATGTCAGGTGCTAACTATCAGTTTCAGCCAGAGCGAATTCAGTAAATATTATTATTGGAGGAGGAATGGGAAGACGTGTTGTGAACCTGCACAGGATGGGCTTTTAAGGCCACAATCCACAGACCTCACCTTCTGAGCCATCATCTTTTGGCCAGGCATCTTTGTTACTCTGTATTAGACTACAATGTATTAGATTATAATGTATTCAATTATAATGATGCAATCACAATGTTTTCAGTTATACTGTATTCGATTACAGTGTATTCAACTCTACCTGATATTCACTCAGCCACTTACTTGCTTTGTGACCTTGGGAAAGTTCCTTAATCACTCTGAACTTCAGCTTCTTCATTTGTCAGATGGAGATAGCAATAGCTCCTAAACCCCTGCCAGTGTCATAAGGGTTCCTTTCTCTATAGCAGAATGTGACAGAGGTGACCATGGGGACCAGGCAGACCAGCTTGAAACCACAGCCCACCCCATCTCTCAGAGCCTCAAATTTTGTAAAGTGGTGATGCCTATTGAGAGAATTAAATGGCATGGTGACAGTACCCAGGACACAAGAAATGTTAACTCCTGTTACTATGTCCTTAGTGTAATATTGAACAGAGTGAGAGATGTGAGGTTTTCAAAGTGGTTGATCTTAAGATGCCCCAAACATTTACAGGGTCTAAGGAAAGAGAATGAATGAAGGTCAACATCCTATAAGATACAACATGTGAACATTGCAAATCTAGCTAATAAACTATTAAATGAAACATGTTCTATCCTTCTATGCTGATGGATGTACCTCCAGAACCACCTGGAAGATCAGGTTTGGGTTGAGGATTCTTGGGCTCCTCAGTTACATGCCAGAATGTAATGGTGTGGGAGAGCCCAGCTGTCTGTGGCTTGCCCGCTTCTCTTCCCACATCCAGCTCCATCTTATATCCCTAGAGGTCTCAGACACATACATGTGAACCCCCCAACCTAGCTCACACACCCAGACTCCATGCACACCACTCCAAGACCACCCTCCAAGTCTGGGGGTGTATACACAGGAGGCACAGCCTACTTTCAGAAAGATAGAGCTGGGGAAGAGGCCTGCACAGGCCCTAAAGAGGGCTCCTGGGCAGGTGGGGAGGGTGTTCTGGAGTTCTAGGTACCCAGAGCATGGGTCTAGAGGAGGAGGTAAGCTCCCATTGGGTCTGTCCCCTGAGCCTGCAGATACTTCTCTAAGCAGAGGGACCCAGCTAGGGGAGGCTGGAGTGGGGCCCTCTAATGGCCAGGATCCAGAACAGAGTCATTTCATTTCCAGATCTAAGCTCAGTCCTACCTGCAAAGCAAAATGACTCACCATCCAGCACACTCCAGACGATTATGGAGCGATCTTTCAAGCCTGCGTAGACGTACTTGTCATCCTTGGAGAAGCAAGCACATTGGACTCCTCTACAGTAAGAACTCTGCTGAAAAAGGTAATGTGATCTTGATTTCAGACTGAAAGACACCTAGGAGTGCAGCCTCAAGGCACTCGTATGGGAAGCCAGACTTATAAGCACCTTTTGAGAGATGGATCAAGTTAAAACCTGGAAAGATGGGTAGCATCGATATTCCCAGGACCAAAACATGTCTTCAAAGAGATTGGATTGAGAGGATTAGTGACATTTTGCACTGGAGAATGGGAATTATAGGGTTTAATTTCTTAAATGACCTTGGTTATACAAGTATTAGCTCCAATTGTATTTAATTAAAAGCTATATGCTAAATGCAATTTGGGATCCTAGAACAGAAAAAGAGAATTCACTGAAAAACATATGATCCCAATAAAGTTGATAGCTAATGATATTGTTCCCATGTTACTTTCTTAGTTTTGACAAAGGTACTCTAGTTGCATAAGATGTTAATATCAGGGGAAGCTGGGTGAGGGGTAGGTAAATGGGAACATTTGCACTATCTTCACAACTTAATCTGTAAATCTAAAATCATTCCAGGGACTTTCCTGGTGGTCCAGTGGTTGGGATTTCACCTTCCAATGCGGGGGGTGCGGGTTCGATCCCTGCTTGGGGAGCTAAGGTCCTACATGCCTTGCAGCCAAGAAACCAAGACATGTAACAGAAGCAATGTTGTAACAAATTTGATAAAGACTTTAAAAAATGGTCCCCATAAAAAAAAATCTCAGAAAAAAATCATTCCAAATTAAGTTTTATTTTTTTAAAAACACCAAAAAGCTAGGTGTATTTAACTGCTGTGGTAACATTTCCCATCTCAACGAGGCAAAAGATTACTTACATCTGAGCCTTATAGTGGCTTCATAAAAATAAATGTCAAGTGGGATGAAGGCTTTTTAAGACAAAACTACACATATTCTGTTCTCTTAGTTACAAGATCGTCTCCCTTAGTTTATTAACAATTTTTATATCTTGCAACCTAAGGTATAATCTTTGTTCTCCATCTGAGAAACTGGAATAATAGCAACAACCTTACAAGATTGTCGTGAGGATTAAATTATAGAATGATATTTTAATATGTATATTTTGCATAATTACGTAATGTGAATTTGTAAATATATAATACAGCTCTTAATCATATTGATACAAAAATTATAACTCCTTACGAGATGGACAGTGCAAACTGTCTTAGACATTTTGTATGAAAAGAAGTCACCAGTTTCCCTTTTCAGAGCCTTCACAGTTGCTGTTCCTTCTGCCTAGAATGCTGTTCCACAAGACTTATCTGACCTTCTTAAATAGCAGCCCGCCCATCTCTACCTCTCTTTATCTTGCCCTATTTTTCTTCAAAGCTCTTGCTGCACCCCAACCATCATGTATTTGCTGCTTTTTGTTTTGTTTTTGTTTTTGGTTTTTTTTCGGTACGCGGGCCTCCCACTGTTGTGGCCTCTCCCATTGTGGAGCACAGGCTCCGGACGTGCAGGCTCAGCAGCCATGGCTCACAGGCCCAGCCACTCCGCGGCATGTGGGATCTTCCCAGACGGGGGCACGAACCCGTATCCCCTGCATCGGCAGGCGGACTCTCAACCACTGCGCCACCAGGGAAGCCCTGCTGCTTTGTTTTTATTTCACAGACATTTAATGGTCAAGAGCTCTCTTAGGGACAGGGGCCACCTAAGTGAACAAAACACACAAAAATCCTGGCTTCCCAGAGCTCACAGTGTCTCCCCTACTAGAATGTGGCTCCAAGAGGTGGGACACTGTCTGCCCTGGTCACAGCTACTTCCTCGGCACTAGAAAGAGCCCGGCATAGGTCGTACAATCAAAACATTTGGGTGAAAGAAAGGCCAGTCAGGATTAGGGTGAGAAGAGTGAGGCAGGGCTGTGCCAGTGCAGGATTTGATCCTGTCTTTATTTTAAATATTGATATTTTGTTCTTTGTGGATTTTTGCATTTATTTTGATTTTTTTAAACACTGCACTAAAATATCTCTCTGGATGGCCAAGGTTTTTGGCACCCCCTTAAACCGTGTTCTAGAGGCGAGGACTTCTCACTTGACTCACCATAGCCCCGACCCTGGTTGGTGGCACCTGGCATGCACTTAATAAATGTGTCATCAGTTTTCTAATGCCAGAACCTAGCGTGTACGTGGTGGGGATGGGCTACTCACCATGTAGCTCATCTCAAATTTCCACTTGCATGCCTGAAGGTCCCAGAGACACAGCAGGGCTTCCTCGGACCCACTGACTGCCAGCTGCTCTTTGTGGCTGACCTTCACACAGGTGACTTGGCTCCCGTGGGCCTCCAGAAGGAACACCTTGGAATTCGCACATTCATAAAGGAAGAGGTCTCTGTTGGTCATGCCATAGATCACGCAGTAGTCAGTCAGAACAGCCACGCTTGCTATGGTGTCAGGCAGCTGGGTATAGAAGGTGTAGGTTGGCCTGTCGATGACTGGACAGGGGTCCCCGGGGCTGATGTCCAGCACCAGGACGATGTTGTCATAGGCGATGGCCAGGTGCCCCTCGTCCTTACTAAGGGCCATGCAGTTGATGGCTTTCTGGGCTTCTGGAGGAGGGATGCACATCACATCCTGTCTGGAATTCAGTGGGAACACCAGGAAGATCCCCAAAACGAGGCCGGTGAAAAGGAGATTGGCCTGCTCAGCGACCTCCAGACACCTGACCTCATTAGAGGTGTCCAGGGCATCTTGCTTCCCACCTGCCATGGGAAGAAGACTGAATCAAGACTCACAGGGGCTGGTTCCAAATTTTGAGGATTTTTAAAAATGCTTACATTACCCATCCTCTTCAACTTGGCTACTGCCAGTTTCCCTGCTTCCATTCTTGCCTGCCAATCATCCAAGCTTTAAAAAATGAAAATTGCAGCATCTCACTGCCTTGCCTAACACCCTCCGAAGACTTCTCACTCCCCTCAGAACAGAACAAATGTACATGCCTTTCCCTGGTGTTCATGGCCTCACGTGACCTCTCATCCCAAATGTTTCCTTTTACCAACTTCTGTAAGGGACAGGAGAGTAATATTTTTACCTTGTAAGCTGTATACTCTCTGCTGTAACCACTTAACCTTGCTTGTGTAGCCCCCAAAGCAGCCCCAAACACTATGTAAACAAATGGGTGTGTCTAGATTTGGCCCTTGGTCTGTAGTTTGCTGACTCCTGTCTCATCGCCCTCCACCCTGCTCTATTTCTTTGCATCTTGCTCTGCCCCATAACTAGCAGGCAAGCACCTCAAAATTTGTAACCTCATCTGTCTTGTTCACTGCTAACTCCCAGAGCTCAGCCACGAGGCTAGTGCTAAACAAATGTCTGTCAAATCCACACATGAACCTGAGAGCAAATTTCTTTTCTCGTATTATTTTATCATTAATGAGGAATTTCTACACCTCCACCCACCCAGTGGGGATTGAGCAGATACTATTGGTGACATGCCCAGACCCCCTTTACAGGTCAGTTCACCCAGATCCAAGGCCTCCTAGAGCCATTGATTGAAGGAAGCACCTCATTTGGAAATGCCTGGGGGCTGTGCCCACCACCCAGGATTGCACCAGGCCAAGGACAGCCTGATATGGGAGTGAAAAGGCTGGCCCCCTTGCTTCAAGATGGGACAACTGTGAAGTACAGTTCACACTCCAGGGCTCCTCATGGGGTCAGGCTGAGCCCACCTCCATGCTCAGTCCTGCCCCCACCCAGCTTCCTTTCTCCCTCCTGGGAGCTCCCCTCTATACACTACTTGTGCAAATATCCCCATCAGGAGCCCTACCTCCAGGGAAGCCTCAACTGAAACAGGAATTGACCACCAGATAATCGATTACCATATGCTGGAAATTTATAAAATCAGGTCCTGTTTTCTATTAGCCACTTTTAACCTAACTGGAGTGGGGTGTCGTGGACTGAATGTTTGTGCCCCATCCCAAAATTCATGTTGAAGTCCTAACCCAGAATGTGATGGTATTAGGAGGTGGGGCCTTTGGAAGGTGATTAGGTCATGAGGGTGGAGCCCCCGTGAATGGGATTGGTGCTCTTATCAGAGGAGACATGAGAGCTTGCTTCTTTCTCTGCCCTCTGCCATGTGAGGATGCAATGAGAATGTGTCCGTCTGCGAACCAGGAAGTGGGCTCTCAACAGACACCAATCTGCCAGTGCCTTGATCTCAGACTTTCCAGCCTCTAGAACCATGAGAAATAAGTGTCTGCTGTTTAATCTGCCCCCCTCTCCATTGGTGGTGTTTTGTTATAAGAGCCCAAACAGACCTAGACAGGGGCTTCAGTTCTTACCCACACAAATGACTGTGCTTATATCTTACAAACCTTCTGCCAGGTCCCAAATGGTGACTTTGGTTTTGTCCCCAATTTTAGGGAAGTAAACATAGCTTCCAATGTGTGACACTGCAGTGAGGCCGGTGCGGTCTAGAAATGAGGTAGAGGTCCTTGGCTTCTGAGCATGGGTGAGATCCCAGACTTTAAAGATGAGGACCGATGGGAAGCAGATGCCACCAACGGCCCACCCCGAGTCAGCAGGCTCACGGGGGCCCCAACGCCTTCCAAGACGTCTAGCAGGCTCCACTGCTCTGATAGACTCCACACCTGAGGACGGAAGCAGAGGGGCAGAGCTGACTTCTTATGCTGCCGTAGCTCAGAAACAGGCTTAAGTTCATCTGTCCACCTAAAGTAAACTTTTAGGCTGTAGTTCGAGGGCCTTCACATCTCCTCACCCCCTCAAACTTCCTTACATCTCACTAATCAGGTACCATAGCAGTTCTCAAAGTGTGTTCCAGGGAAACCCTGGAAGGTACCCCCCTGGGTGGTTCTGCAAAAGAGGGTTTTCAGGGAGTTCTGCAAAAGCAAAATTATTTTCACAATAATTTAAGAAGTCACTTGCCTTCTTCCACCCTCTTACTCTCATAAGCAAGCAGTGGAGTCTTCCAGAAGCTATGGGACATGTTTATCACAACAGATAGGAGAATGCAGAATCAAATATGACACTTCTTCTAGTAAGCCAGACAAGAAAGAGGCATGCCAAAATGTTGAAACGATGACACCCTTCTCACGACTTTTTTGTTGTTTTCAGAAAACATACGTTTTTTCATAAGAGTATTTATTATGTTGACATGTTATGTTAATGAATTAATGCAGAAGTATTTTTAGATTTTGTCATTTAAAAGTTGTAATATGGGACTTCCCTGGTGGCGCAGTGGTTAAGAATCTGCCTGCCAATTCAGGGGACACAGGTTTGATCCTTGGTCCAGAAAGATCCCACATACCGGGAGCAACTAAGCCCATGTGCCACAACTACTGAGCCTGTGTAACGCAACTATTGAAGCCCACATGCCTAGAGCCCATGTTCTGCAGCAAGAGAAGCCACCACAATGAGAAGCCCACACACTGCAATGAAGAGTAGCCCCCGCTCACCGCAACTAGAGAAAGCCTGCGCACAGCAACGAAGAACCAATGCAGCCAAAAATAAATAAATAAATAAATTTATAAAAATAAAAAAGTAAAATAAAAATTGTAATATGGCAATTATCAATAGATACTAAATGCAAGGCAGGATTTGGAAAATGGCATTTGTGGGAAAACTAGTGAAATAGAATCAAAGCCTGTAGATGAATTAATAATACTGTCCCAACGTGAATTTCTTGGTTTTGGTAATGGGATCAATGTGATATGAGATGTTAACATTGGGGGCAGCTGGATAAAGAGTAGATATCTTCTTACAAACCTTCCAAGACTGAACCAGGAAGAAATAGAAAATATAAACAGACCAATCACAAGCACTGAAATTGAGACTGTGATTAAAAATCTTCCTACAAACAAAAGTCCAGGACCAGATGGCTTCACAGGAGAATTCTATCAAACATTTAAAGAAGAGCTAACACCTATCCTTCTCAAACCCTTCCAAAATATAGCAGAGGGAGGAACACTCCCAAACTCATTCTACAAGGCAACCATCACCCTGATACCAAAACCAGACAAGATGTCACAAAGAAAGAAAACTACAAGCCAATATCACTGATGAACATAGATGCAAAAATCCTCAACAAAATACTAGCAAACAGAATCCAACAGCACATTAAAAGGATCATACACCATGATTAAGTGAGGTTTATCCCAGGAATGCAAGGATTCTTTAATATATGCAAATCAATCAACATGATACACCATATTAAAAACTTGAAGGAGAAAAACCATATGAATATCTCAATAGATGCAGAAAAAGGTTTCAACAAAATTCAACATACATTTATGATAAAAATCCTCCAGAAAGTAGGCATAGAGGGAACTTAACTCAACGTAATAAAGGCCGTATATGACAAACCCACAGCCAACATCGTTCTCAGTGGTGAAAAACTGAAACCATTTCCTCTAAGATCAGGAACAAGACAAGGTTGTCCACTCTCACCACTATTATTCAACATAGTTTTGGAAGTTTTAGCCACAGCAATCAGAGAAGAAAGGAAATAAAAGGAATCCAAATTGGAAAAGAAGAAGTAAAGCTGTCACTATTTGCAGATGACATGATACTATACATAGAGAATCATAAAGATGCTACCAGAAAACTATTAGAGCTAATCAATGAATTTGGTAGAGTAGCGGGATACAAAATGAATGCACAGAAATCTCTTGCATTCCTATACACTAATGAGGAAAAATTTGAAAGAGAAATTAAGGAAACACTCCCGCTAACCACTGCAATAAAAAGAATAAAATACCTAAGAATAAACCTACCTAAGGAGACAAAAGACCTGTATGCAGAAAACTCTAAGACACTGATGAAAGAAATTAAAAATGATACAAACAGATGGAGAGATATACCATGTTTCTGGATTGGAAGAATCAACATTGTGAAAATGACGATACTACCCAAAGCAATCTACAGATTCAATGCAATCCCTATCAAACTACCAATGGCATTTTCCACAGAACTAAAATAAAAAATTTCACAATTTGTATGGAAACACAAAAGACCCCGAATAGCCAAAGAAATCTTGAGAAAGAAAAACGAAGCTGGAGGAATCAGGCTCCCGGACTTCAGACTATACTACAAAGCTACAGTCTTCAACCAGTATAGTACTGGCACAAAAACAGAAATATAGATCAATGGAACAGGATAGAAAGCTCAGAGATAAACCCATGCACATATGGTCACCTTATTTTTGATAAAGGAGGCAAGAATATACAATGGAGAAAAGACAGCCTCTTCAATAAGTGGTGCTGGGAAAACTGGACAGCTACATGTAAAAGAATGAAATTAGAACACTCCCTAACACCACACACAAAAATAAACTCAAAATGGATTAAAGACCTAAATGTAACGCCAGACACTGTAAAACTCTTAGAGGAAGACTTAGGCAGAATGCTCTATGACATAAATCACAGCAAGATCCTTTTTGACCCACCTCCTAGAGAAATGGAAATAAAAACAAAAATAAATAAATGGGACCCAATGAAACTTAAAAGTTTTTGCACAGCAAAGGAAACCATAAACAAGATGAAAAGACAACCCTCAGAATGGGAGAAAATATTTGCAAATGAAGCAACTGGCAAAGGATTAATCTTCAAAATTTACAAGCAGCTCATGCAGCTCAGTATCAAAAGAACAAACAACCCAATCCAAAAACGGGCTGGAGACCTCAATAGACATTTCTCCGAAGAAGATATACAGATCGCTAACAAACACATGAAAGGATGCTCAACATCAGTAATCATTAGAGAAATGCAAATCAAAACTACAATGAGATATCACCTCACACCAGTCAGAATGGCCATCATCAAAAAATCTACAAACAATAAATGCTAGAGAGGGTGTGGAGAAAAGGGAACCCTCTTGCACTGTTGGTGAGAATGTAAATTGATACAGCCACTATGGAGAACAGTACGGAGGTTCCTTAAAAAACTAAAAATAGAACTACCATAGGACCCAGCAATCCCACTACTTGGCATATACCCTGAGGAAACCATAATTCAAAAAGAGTCATGTACCAAAATGTTCGTTGCAGCTCTATTTACAATAGCCAGGACATGGAAGCAATGTAGGTGTCCATTGACAGATGAATGGATAAAGAAGATGTGGCACCTATATACAATGGAATATTACTCAGCCATAAAAAGAAATGAAATTGAGTTATATGCAGTGAGGTGGATGGACCTAGAGACTGTCATACAGAGTGAAGTAAGTCAGAAAGAGAAAAATAAATACTGTATGCTAACACATATATATGGAATCTAAAAAAAAATGGTTCTGAAGAACCTAGAGGCAGGACAGGAATAAAGACGCAGATGTAGAGAATGGGCTTGAGGACACAGGGAGGGGGAAAGTTAAGCTGGGATGAAGTAAGAGAGTGACATGGACATATATACACTACCACATGTAAAATAGATAGCTAGTGGGAAGCAGCCACATAGCACAGGGAGATCAGCTCAGTGCTCTGTGACCACCTAGAGGGGTGGGATGGGGGGGTGAGAGGGAGACTCAAGAGGAAGGAGATATGGAGATATATGTATATGTATAGCTGATTCACGCTTTTTGGTTTTTTTTGCAGTACGCGGGCCTCTCACTGTTGTGGACTCTCCCGTTGTGGAGCACAGGCTCCGGGTGCGCAGGCTCAGCGGCCATGGCTCACGGGCCCAGCCGCTCCGCGGCATGTGGGATCCTCTCGGACCGGGGCACGAACCCGTGTCCCCTGCATCGGCAGGCGGACTCTCAACCACTGCGCCACCAGGGAAGCCCTGATTCACTTTGTTATAAAGCAGAAACTAACACAACATTGTAAAGCAATTATACTCCAATAAAGACGTTAAAAAAAAAAAAAAAAGTACTTCTCTGAAGACTCTGGAGGGAGCCAGCCCTGCCAATGCCTTGCTTTCGGGCTTCTGGCCCCTAGAACAGTGAGTGAAGAAATTCTTGTTGTTTTAAGCCACCAGGTTTGTATGGTAATTTGTGACAGAACATTTGTTTTGAGGTTAGAGAAATGAGGAAGTGGCAGGCACTGGAATAATGGGACTAGCATGGGACAACCAGGAGGTAGGAAAGGCCTGGTGTGTTTGAAGACCAGCATGGAGGCCAGTGCAGCTGGAGCAGAGTGAAGGAAGGGGAAGTGAGTGAGAGGAAGGAGTGCCAGATTTAGCAAAACAACAACTGCAACAACAACAGAACACCCAGTTAAATTGGAATTTCAGAGGAACAGTGAAATTTTCATGAGTATATCCCACAATGTTATGTGGGATATACTTATACTAAAAACTTGATTTGTTGTTTACCTGAAATTTAACTGAGTGTTCTGTATTTTATCTGGCAACCCTACCCAAGGGGACTTGTCCTCTTGTGTCCCAAATACTGTGTGAGTGAACGTTTTGTTGAGAGGACCCCTAGCAGCACAGGGAGGTGGGTGAAGGCCAGATTATGCACGGCCTTCCAGGCCCCATACAGGAGAAAGTGCAGGCCCTGCTTCTGCTCAGCCAGTAAATGCACCATGGGACACACCGCAGCAGCTGGCAGAGAAACTCAGCTGTTTGTGTGTTTATTGTTTTTTTTGAGTGGGAAGGAAGCCGCCCCCTTACTTTATAAAAAGATCTCTGTGTCTGGAACACCACAGATCGCCTGCTAAGTCACGCATTTCCATTGGCACCGGCTCAGGTCTCGGTGTGGGTGCTGGGTTAGCATGACCTCATTCAAGTGGATACCCTGTGCTTTCCCAGGAGTTATTGCTGACAAGATAGGCAAGCCATCAATTCTTCCAGAGGTTCAGAAATAAAATATTGTCGGTAAATAAACAAACATTCAGCATCTTATTTGAGGCTGCAGAGTCAAGCCTGACATGAATTCAAATCCCAGCCCCTCCACTTACAGCTGTGTGACCTCAAGCAAGTTACCTAACTTCTCTGTGCCTCAGTTTCCTCATCTATAAATGAGAATAATAAAAGTGCCTACCTCCCAGGGCTATTGGGGTGTAAAGGAATTAACACATGTTAACTGTTTAGGATGGGTTCTAACACACTGTAAATACCCAAGTATTAACGACTGTTATTACAAGGTTAACTCTCTCACTGAGGAGTTATGGTATGAGGCTCCCTGCTGTGCACCTCACATGTGACATCTCAGTTTAGCCTCAAGACAATCCCTGGATCAAGTCAGGTCACTGAGGGTTGGGGGCTGAGTCTGCCTTATGTCTCTCCAGGCTCCCTGTGGAACTACTTTTATTGAATTGTGCTTGAATGATAGCCTCACATGGAAGGATGTTATGGATGAAACATGTGTGTGGGAAACTGAAGAAATGCACCAAGGTATCTGCTGTCCAAGGATATTTGCATTATATGCTTATGCAGTAAAGGATGAGCTCAGCAGGCCTGCGTCGTCCACACCCTGCACATGAAAAGTTTGGTCCTAGTCTGGCTCCTGGAAGGTGACCTCTAAGCCCTTGGAATGTCCTGCCTAAAAGGAGTATCTTTGTTACCCTGAGGCCTTGGGCCACACTGCATGGTCTATGCTCAGAGCGTGATGTATGGTGGGAGCTTTGGGACATGCAGTATCAGCTTGAACTCAGGGGTGGGGCTGGTGATTAAAGTTAGCTGTGCAAGGATCAGCCTTGTCTACATGACCATCTACCAGTAAAAAGCCCGGACGCCAAGGCTGGGGTGACATTTCCTGGTTGGCAGTATGCCATGGATGTTGTCATACATCATTGCTGGGTAAGTAAGCACTGCTTGCAAGACTCCACTGGAGGAGGACAAGCTCGTGCTTGGTCTCTCCTGGACTCTGCCCCGTGTGCCTCTTCCTTTTGCTGATTTTAATCTGTACCCTTTTGCTGCAATAAACTGTAACTGTGAATGTAACAGCTCTTCTGAGTTCTGTGAGCCCTAAAAAATCATCAGACTTGAAGATGATCTTGGGGACCCCTGACTCTATTTATCAATGAAATCCTTGCCTGATCTTAGCTGACTTAAGTATAAAATACATGCTAGATATCAAAAACTTCACACAAGAATTTTAAAAGTAATGTGAAATATACCATTAAAATCATACTGATTTCATGTTGGCTTTTGGGGTCTATTGTATTAAATAAGATATATCATTAACACAAATGTCACCTGTTTCTTTTTACCTTTTTAACTAGGGTCAGGAGAAAATTCACAGTATAAATGTGGCTCACATTCGTAGTCTGCATTACTGGACAGTGCTGGTCTAAAGTGTCTTTGGCCCCTGGAAATGGCTTTGTAAAAATCAGACTGATTTAAGGGCAGTGAAAGTAATCTGTATGATACTATAACGAAGGATATACATCATTATACATTTGTCCAGACCCACAGAATATGCAACACTAAGAGTGAACCATAATGTTAGCTATGGAGTTTGAGTGAGGATGCTGTGTCACTGTAGGTTCATCAGTTGTAACAAATTCACCCCTCTGGTGGGCCATATTGAAAATGGGGGAGGCTGCGTGTGAGTGGGAGCACAGCCCCACACATGGGTATATGGAACTCTCTGTATCTTCTGTTTGGCTGTGAACCTAAAACTGCTCTAAAATTTTTTTCTTTAAAAAAAAATCAGGATGTGGAGCACCTGTTGGTCACCTCTACCAGGTAGCCTTCCCTGATTGCTTCAGACTAAGGAAAGGGAATCCTGTCACATGTTCCTATAGCCCCTGTTTCTTATCTTGACATAGCACCAACCAGTCTTTCTTGTGGCTGGGGTAGTGTGGGCTGAGTGCACCCTATCCTCTCACCCTACCTCCCTCTATCCCTGTGGCTCTCTGGCAGGAATAACCACTCCCATTTCCAAGATAATGGACCGGAAGCCCAGAAAGGTTCAGAGATTTATCCAGAACATGTGTTGGCAAACTACAACCCGTGGGTGAAAATTGGCTGGTCCCCGATTTTTATATGTGAGCTAATAGTTTTTAAGTTTTTTACATGCTTGAAAAAACTAAAATAAGATTACTATTTCATAACACATGAAAATGGTATGAAATTCAAATTTCAGCATCCATGAAAATTTTATTGGCACATAGCCATACTCACTTGAAATGTCGTCCATGGAGGCTTTCGAATTACAAGGGCAGGGTTGGATAGTTGTGACAGAGACAGGCAATGATGTTTATTTACTATGAGGCTCTTTGCAGAAAAAGTTTGCTGACCCTCTTCCCCCTTTCCCCAAGCCCCTCTCCACTTCCAACCAAATCCGGAGTTGCCGCCTCATGACTCCAAATGAGAGCTAAATGCTACCTGCAGCGAGAAGGGACTCATCTTCAGAGACCACCAGGAACCCCACGGCTTCTGGAAGCTTCTCCAGCAGGCTGTCTCCTTCGGAGGAAACCCGTGCAGAAGCAAGGATGCCCATCAAGCATTTCCACTGGGTTAAGCGTTCAGGGTCAAGAGCTTGCATTTGACGCAGGGCTCTGCCACTCACCAGCTCTGTGATCCTAAGCAAATTCCTTAGCCCCTGGCTGCCTCAGTTACCTCATCTGTTTAATGGGAGATGATACCAGGACTGCCTCACAGGGCTATCGTGGTTAAGAAGTGCATAGGATGGTTCCCTCTGGCCCATAATCAGTCCTCCCAAAGTGACAGCTACTATTATTACTGTTGACATTGTTGTCATAACCAACTCGGGGACCCAGAGAACATCCCAGCACTCTAGTTTTCTACCCCCAGAGGAGCTCTGAAGATCTCAAATAAGGTCGAAAGGTAGGTTGGAGCCAGAGGAGGGCAGCATCATTCTCCCCATTCCCGAGTTGCAGAAATGAACTGGTTTTGTTCAGATCTAAGAGGAAGGTTTGGGGTTTCTTTTTTTCCTTTCTTTCTTTTTTTTTTTTTTGCTTCTGTTTTTGTTTTAAGCAAGGGCTGGAGGAAGTCAATTTCTACATAGCTGCTGATGAAATAAAAATTATATTTTAATTTATAGTTTACAAAACTAATTTATATGTTAAGGCAGGACAAGAAAAAATTAAACATAAAATTCTCTCTCTGTGTTAGTTTGGGCATTCTCCTCCCCTAAGGTGCGGTGTGATTTGCATTACACGTTAACCAGAGCTCCTCAAGGATGGGAGTGCCTGCTCAACCGTAAACATCAATTTTTTCCCCCTTTCTTCTGACACTAGCAATGTAACTTCTTAAAAGAATAGTGTTCCTCTATGACATAAATCACAGCAAGATCCTTTTTGACCCACCACCTAGAGAAATGGAAATAAAAACAAAAATAAACAAATGGGACCTAATGAAACCTAAAAGCTTTTGCACAGCAAAGGAAACCATAAACAAGATGAAAAGACAGCCCTCAGAATGGGAGAAAATATTTGCAAATGAAGCAACTGACAAAGGATTAATCTCCAAAATTTACAAGCAGCTCATGCAGCTCAGTATCAAACAAACAAACAACCCAATCCAAAAATGGGCAGAAGACCTAAGTAGACATTTCTCCAAAGAAGATATACAGATTGCCAACAAACACATGAAAGAATGCTCAACATCACTAATCATTAGAGAAATGCAAATCAAAACTACAACAAGGTATCACCTCACACCAGTCAGAATGGCCATCATCAAAAAAATCTAGAAACAGGGGCTTCCCTGATGGCGCAGTGGTTGAGAGTCCACCTGCCGATGCAGGGGACACGGTACGTGTCCCGGTCTGGGAGGATCCCACATGCCGCGGAGTGGCTGGGCCCATGAGCCATGGCCGCTTAGCCTGCGCGTCCGGAGCCTCTGCTCCACAACGGGAGAGTCCACAACAGTGAGAGGCCCGCATACTGCAAAAAAAAAAAAAAATCTAGAAACAATAAATGCTGGAGAGAGTGTGGAGAAAAGGGAACACTCTTGCACTGTTGGTGGGAATGTAAATTGATACAGCCACTATGGAGAACAGTACGGAGGTTCCTTAAAAACTAAAAATAGAACTACCATATGACCCAGCAATCCCACTACTGGGCATATACCCTGAGGAAACCATAATTCAAAAAGAGTCATGTACCAAAATGTTCGTTGCAGCTCTATTTACAATAGCCAGGACATGGAAGCAACCTAAGTGTCCATCAACAGATGAATGGATAAAGAAGATGTGGCACATATACACAATGGAATATTACTCAGCCATAAAAAAAATGAAATTGAGTTATTGGTAGTGAGGTGGATGGACCTAGAGTCTGTCATACAGAGTGAAGTATGTCAGAAAGAGAAAAACAAATACCGTATGCTAACACATATATATGGAATCTAAGGGAAAAAAATAAGGTCATGAAGAACCTGGGGCAAGACAGGAATAAAGACACAGACCTACTAGAGAATGAACTTGAGGATATGGGGAGGGGGAAGGGTAAGCTGTGACAAAGTGAGAGAGTGGCATGGACATATATACACTACCAAATGTAAAATAGATAGCTAGTGGGAAGCAGCCGCATAGCACAGGGAGATCAGCTCGGTGGATTGTGACCACCTAGAGGGGTGGGATAGCGAGGGTGGGAGGGAGGGAGACACAGGAGGGAAGAGATATGGGAACATACGTATATGTATAACTGATTCGCTTTGTTATACAGCAGAAACTAACACACCATTGTAAAGCAATTATACCCCAATAAAGATGTTAAAAAAAAAAAAAAAGAATAGTGTTCTTTCCCAGCTCTGTAGGGGGTCATGGTGACTCGCTGCTCGCTTTGTACTTGTTTATGGGGCCTGTATATCCTTGGTGAACTTTATGTAAAATACCAGCATGTCATTTTGATGTATGATCATTTGTCTCAAAAATGTATATGACTGTTCCTTCGACTTCCAACAGGCAGCACAGTTCTCAGAGCTTTCTGAGAATCTGCTTCCCGGGTTATAATCCTCAGTTTAGCTCGAATAAAATTCCCTTTTTTCTTCTTCACTTGATAGTTAATTGAATTTTCCTCGACAGTGTTATTGCTGATTTTTTCAAAAACGTGATTCTTTTAAAACTTAAAAAAAATTATACTGTATAATTAAAAAAAAAAAAAAGAAATGGCCAGAGCTCCCCACGAGCATCTTTTCACCTTCCCCACCATTCTGCTTTCTCCCTGGAAGGCATCTTTGTCTATGTTTGCTGAGAATCCGTTTGTGTAGGTAAACATTTACACAAGCCTCCTTTCTCCACCATCCCTCGTAGATATTGTTCTGCAAGTTGCTTTTTTCACTTAATGTGTCTGGGGTAGCGGTTCTCAACTGGAGCAAGGGGTGATTTTGTCCCTCCCCGCTGAGAACACTGGGCAACGTCTTAGAGACATTTTTGGTTGTAAAGATAGGGCAGATCCTCTGCATCGAGTGGGCAGTGGCTAGCGATGCTGCTGAACACCCTACAACGCATAGGACGGCCCCCAATGGCAAAGAAGGACCTGGCCCCAGCTGTCAATGGCACCCAGGTGTAGCACAGCGCTTAAGAGCATGGATCCTAGAGCCAGACTGCTTGAGTTCAAATCCTGTCTGTGACACTTCCTAGCTGTGTGACCTTAGGCAAATGACTTCATCTCTCTGTGCTTCAGTTTAACGCATCTGTAACATACAGATAATGGCAGCAGCTACATCTTAGCTGTGTTTTGAGGGTTAAATGAGATAATAGGTATAAAAGTCCCTGCAATAGCCCTTAGTACACAGTGAGCACTGTGTGAGAGTTTATTATTTCCACGAAAGTATCTCTAGGCCAGGGGTCGGCAAATTTTCCTGTAATGCGCCAGATAGTAAACACTTTAGACTTTGTGGCCATGTGGTCTCAACTTTGCCATTAGAGCACAAATGCAGCCACAGACCGTATGTAGACAAACGGTGTGGTTATGTGCCAAGACAACGTCATTTATGGACATTAAATTTGGCTTCTATGGAATTTTCACATGTCACAAGATATTCTTCTTTTAAAAATCATTTTTCAACCATTAAAATCAGAAAAACCATTCTCAGCTCATGGGCTGAATAAAAACAGGCAGTGGGCCAGAGTTAGCTGACCACTGCTCAAGACTATCTAATTTTTTATAGTTATGTAATCTTCCATGGTATAACATTTCCTTAATTCACTTAACTATTTTCCCATAGATGGACATTTCACATCATGTCAATGTTTTGCTATTACACGGAGGGATACTATCCTAAAGGCTGGTCTCATTTTTTTTTTTTGGTACGCGGGCCTCTCACTGTTGTGGCCTCTCCCGTTGCGGAGCACAGGCTCCAGATGCGCAGGCTCAGCGGCCATGGCTCATGGGCCCAGCCGCTCCGCGGCATGTGGGATCTTCCCGGACCGGGGCATGAGACCGCGTCCCCTGTATCGGCAGGCGGACTCTCAACCACTGCGCCACCAGGGAAGCCCAAGGCTGGTCCCATTTTAAGTGAGGGGTATATACCTGAAGATCTCAGATAATACAAAACATGACAGATTTGAGAGGGATTTTCCCCTTGGATGGATGAAGGATGGTAGGCGTTTCTGTCCACCAGCTACAGTGCTGCTGCCACTCACACTAGTGTAAACACAGTCTCCAATTCACCTACCCCCACCCCTCGCTGCGAGATCATAAGATGCTAAATAAATTTTAAATGTGTTTGCATTTTCCCTATTTATGTGCATATTTATGTGCGTATTTCCTAAATGTGCACATAAAATGAGACTGAATACTTTTATAATATTATTTCGTATTTACCTAAGTCAAATTCACATGAAATGAGGCCACACTCTGTTTACATTTGTGTGCACGTGGGCAAGTATTTAAGATGGGGATGTGACTTTTTAATCTTAGACTGCAAGATTTCTCTCCCAAGGGTTTCACCAATCTATACCCCCATGAAGAAGGCAAAGTGCCCAAGAAATGGATTTCCTTTTCACAAAAATACATACTTTTTATGTTCAAAATAAGAGATCTATTACATGCACTTTGCTGAACCAGATAAATTTGGGGAGGTGTTTTTAAAACATTAACATTTAGATAGTAAAATAAAGCTCCCATTCCTGACAAAATCATCATTCCATGCATTAGTCAGTTTCAAAGTTTCACTGAATTGCAATCACTAAAGGCAGGTGGTAGTAGGCTCTCTGGTCTCAAGGTTGGAATTGCCCTATGCAGGCAGCACATGCAACATTAAGTTGTGCTCAGAAGAAATGCATGTGTTTATTTCAGAGCAGGATGGGGTCTATTTACATTTTTTTTTTTTTTTTTTTGCGGTACGCGGGCCTCTCACTGTTGTGGCCTCTCCCGTTGCGGAGCACAGGCTCTGGACGCACAGGCTCAGCGGCCATGGCTCACGGGCCCAGCTGCTCCGCGGTATGTGGGATCTTCCCGTACCGGGGCACGAACCCGCGTCCCCTGCATCGGCAGGCGGACTCTCAACCACTGCGCCACCAGGGAAGCCCTATTTACATTTTTACCTTGTAGGTTTCATGTTATTTCAACCCCAGGCTCTTGGCTGACATATACATGATCTTCTTTCATAGCTTGCAGGTCTAGAGGCTCTAGCATCTTGAGTTCCACTTGGACTTGAATATTTCAGAGCCAGCTTGGATGAGGAGTGATGGCTGGGTACCACACAGGAACTTTGGTGCAAGACGACTGCTTTTCCCAAGACCAAATAGTTCTAGAGTCTTTGGGTACCTACTTTTTCAAGCTCTGATTTTCCTAGGACACAGACAGCTTTGAGCTGAGCTTTCTCCTCTAGTTACCGTTTCTGGTGCTCCTCCTTTATTCATTGGACTTTCATCTGGTGTTATATCCCCACAGCCTGAAGAACTTATTTCCAGCATTTCTTTTTTTTTCCCCAGCATTTCTTATAGTCCAGATTTGTTGGAGACAAGTTCTCTCAGCCTTTATTTGCCTAAAAATGTCTTTTATTTTGCTTTCAGTTTTGAAGGATAATTTCCCTGTAAATAGGAGTCTAGGTTGACAGGTTTTGGCTTTTTCTTTCAAATTACAGATGCCATTCCTTCCATTGTCTCTGTTCCCATTGTTTTCAATGAGAAATCAGCTGTAGATCTTATCATGGACGACCGTGGTATGTAATGGGTCTTTTTTCCTCTGGCTGCTTTTAATATTTCTCTCTTTACCTTTGGTTTTTGGCAGTTTGATTACGATTGCTGAATTATGGCTTTCTTTCTTTTGACTGGTAGAGAGTGGAGAATTGAGACAGGGAAGGGAAGGCAGCCAATAAATGTGGCTCATCAAGCCAGTTACCAATGCAGGCAAACATAGCTGAGTCCTGCTGGGGATGCTCTGAGAGAGAGTGTAGAGCATGCATCAGAGATGCCCCCACTGAGGGGCCAAGAGCTGGGTGGGGTTCTATGCACCACCTCTATTTCAGGTTGGCTGAGGACTGCTCCCAGGAGCATTAACACAGAGGCCCAGTGTGCTGGTGTGGGGGGGAGAGGAGATAGAAAAAAACCTCAACCAGGTGCAGAGTCACAGGTGTGCAGCTGTAATGTAGGTGCCTGACAACAAGCTTTTTGATTGCTGAGGCAGCCATTTCAAAAGACATCCATCTTGAATAAACATGTTGGCAGCTACTAGCAAAACAACTAGATAAGGAACCAGGATGTCCACCCATGAAGTTTCCTCTTTCAGAAAGCCCTGGAGAACCTAGATAACTGACGACTTGGGGTGACGGCCTTCCCCTTCCTGTGTCCTAATTCCTCCCCATATGTTTTAAATTTGCCAATAAAGAGTGAATCCACAAAATGCTAGACACCCCACCCTCAGACCCCAATAAAGGCAGAGCCCCAAGTCCATGTTTGCTCACTCCCTCTCTCAACTCTCTCTCTCCCCTCAACTTCACTGTGTGGCCCTTGGGCATGCTATTCACCTTCCTCAAAGTTCCCTGATGGTTTCTTGCTGAAGTGCATCCTGTGATCATAAGAAGAGCCACAAGAGCCAGTCCAGTCATAAATAGGGGCTCCGTGGGAGAAATGTGTGTAGAGCCCCCTATGAGTGATGTGTGCCCAGACAAGCACCATAGGCATTCCTAACTGAGGGCACTGCCATCAGTAGGCTTGGGACTGACAGAATAGTCTTCAGAACTGAGGGGATCGGGATGGGGCACCAAAGGTGAGTTATATAGGGAGAAATCTGAGTTAACTAGCACCATGTTTCCAATTCACTCCAGTGTTATCTTAGCATACCCACCCCACCCCTGCTGGTTGGAAGCCTGAACAAGTGCCCATCTGTCCATCTCTTGTTGTGGCCCTGGATGTAGGTGCCATGTTCCCTCTCCCCATTTTACAGATGAGGAAACTGAGGCTCAAAGAAGGGTTGAGTAGCCCAAGAATACAACTAGGTAAAGGCAGGAGTGGGATTTTCTTTTCTGTTTTTTTTTGTTTTTGTTTGTTTGTTTATTGAAATATAGTTGATTTACAATGTTATGTTAGTTTCTGGTGTACAGCAAAGTGACTGTTTTATATATATATATTCTTTTCCATTTTTCATATACTTTTCCATTATGGTTTATTACAGGATATTGAATATAGTTCCCTGTGCTATACAGTAGGACCTTGTTGTTTATCTATTTTATATGTAGTAGTTTGTATCTGCTAATCCCAAACTCCTAATTTAGCCCTCTTCCCACCTCCTTTCCCCTTTGCTAACTATAAGTTTGTTTTTTACATCTGAGAGTCTGTTTCTGTTTTGTAAATAATTCATTTGTATCATATTTTAGATTCCACATATAAGTGTTATCATATGGTATTTACCTTTCCCTTTCTGGCTTACTTCACTTAGTATGATAATCTCTAGGTCCATCCATGTTGCAGCAAATGGCATTATTTCAATCTTTTTTTTTTTTTTTTTTGCGGTATGCGGGCCTCTCTCACTGTTGTGGCCTCTCCTGTTGCGGAGCACAGGCTCCGGATGCACAGGCTCAGCGGCCATGGCTCACGGGCCCAGTCACTCCGCGGCATGTGGGATCTTCCCGGACCGGG